ATTTAATGATGATTAGTGTCTCAATTATTTCAGTCAAGGTTACAACATAATTATTTTAAAAATACATTTTTACTTTTATCTGGAATTAGTCGGTGAAAAGCAACTTTCATTACTTAAGAGCCATTCTGTTTTCCTGAAATACAGAGAACAGGAAAAGGAAAATAAACACTTAATTATTTTCCTCTAATCGTAATTAATTTCTTTGCGGGGGTGTATCATAATGATATTCGGTGTTTCACTCAATTGTGGTTATATATTTTGATGCTCAAAATAATCATCCTTGGCCATTGAAAGCCCCTCCAATTTAGCTCTCTTGTCTATGTCACAGAACTCCAGTGGTCTCTGATAGTTTATTTGCTTTCTGACACAACTAGATTTATCAAGTTTATCTTGTACTTTTCCTACCAGTTCTGAAGTCAGCCTCTCCTCCAGGGAGGCTTTCTTTAATTTAGTGGAAAAGAATTTTGGGAAGCCAGAATCAGGCCCTAGGGATGCTCATTGCATTGGATTTTTATTGCTTCTAGGTCTTTCAGTTGACAGAGCTAGGGAATATGTTTTGTTTTGCTTTTTAAAACAGAAAAACTGTCAAGGGTTTAGACTGGAATTTTTTATTCAAATTAAACATTATATAATTTTTTACTTAACTTGTTAAGCACCTGCATTTAAGCCCTGAAAATTTTCTCCCTAGCAACATTAACATAATTATTTTTTGCTTTAGCTTCAATGTATACAAAAATTTTAACACAATGCCAATATTACAACTAACAAACTAATGAATGAAATTTACTAAGATTTCCTTGCAGCTCTATTTGTCTTTGGAATATACTCCATTAAGGGTATTCATTGAAAATACTATTTTCTAATGCCTTTTGGATATTTCTTTTCTTGGTATGGTTATACCAATTTGAAATTCATGCCATGTCATCTTCATATATCTTCCTTACTGAAGATTTTAGCTTTCTGGTTACCTCTTCACCCAGTAAGACCTTATTTAAGGTCACCCAGTCAAAGTCAGGATTTTAATCTAGGCAGTCTTATGCCAATGCACCCTTTTTTTTTTACTGCACTAATACTTCAGCTGGTTTGCTGATCATAGATCTGAGTAAGGGCTCAGTCAAAGAGTTTGCATGGTGATGCTGGTGGGGAAGGAGAAAGATTAAGATTATGAAGGCTCAGCTTCCAAAAAGGACTAAAGCAAATGTGGAGGTGAGCATTATGGGATTAATCTGGCCAGAGAATCTCTTGAGTCTATTTGGAGCTGCTTATTCTGCAGCCCTGAATGGTACAGCTATTGGGAAAGGCAGTTTATTTGATCAGGAACAGGAGGTACTGTGAAGCTTTCTAAGCTACTGTACTCTACGTTTTCCTCTTTTCTTGGACAGTTTTTCAACATTCTACAGATACCTTAAATACACTTCCAGGAAAAGCTTCCTCTAATCACTCCTACATTAGGTTGCAGGATCCTGCTATGCACTTCCATGTCCTCCTATTGTTCAGCATTTTTCTCATCCAGAAGAATGCAAGGTCAGTGAAAATAAGGTCTGTATCTTGCTCCCATTGTATCCCACCAGTTAGCATAGTGTCTTGGCTAATAGACTCTCAATAAATATTTCTTAAATTAATGCAATATATTCAGTGAATGAGTTAGTAATTAGTATCAGAAAGATCAGAAATAAAAAGATCAGAATGGCTGGGTCTGCTCTACCTCCACTACCTTTTGTTGGTATGTCAGTGTAAAACCAAAAATGAACACCCAAAGCCTAAAAGCTTGAGTATATGAGAAAACAGGCTCTCTAAAATCTGAGATTTATACAGAGATGTGAAAATCCATGAGAGAAGCTAACACATCCAAATCTTTAGGAGAGAAATACTAATTACGGGGAGGTATTCTTTAGGGAAGAAAAAGATACTGTCATTAGCCATATGTTGTTGAACATTTGTGAAAGCAGCAGCTTCCAGCTGAATGTCCTGACCCAAATCTGTCAGGCCATGTTTGGCTTTATCTAAAATATGCCGTGCCTACCCAGTTCTTGGGGAAGGGAAAATGTGCACTTTTGAATCACCTAAACAAAAATATAGCTTATTGGGAAGTTAAACAGATATGTGGAAGATCTTTTATTTTTGTTTCCAATTTTACTATCTTTTTAATAGGTAATATAGTCACATAATTCAAAAGTCAAATGATGTAAAATGGTATACATTAAGAAGTTTCTTTCCCATTCCTATCCCTGACCACCTCATTCTCTATATCCTTCCACACCACTAACAACTTTTATTTTTTCCAGTATTTATGCCGACAGAAATAAATGTTTGCATGCTAATACCCCTCTTCCTCCTCTCCTCCTTACAGAGAATATAGTATAATATGGATATTGTTCTATAGCTGTTTTTTTTCTGCATATGTCCTGGGGATAGTTCTATATCAATACATTAACAACTTCCTTTTCCTTTTGTTTTACAGTTACATTGTGTTCCAAAGTGTAAGGACCCATAGTTTATAAACCCGTTCCCTACTGATAGTATGTGAGCTATTTCCAATCTTCTGTAACAATGATGTAATAAATAACCTTAAACATGAAAAAGAAGACTATTTCAGACTAGTAACAAATAAGAGTGGATTAGAGCATTGAATGGGGACTATCTGGCAAGCAGCTAAAGGAGGAGTCCCTTCGTGGGACTGGGCAGTAAGAGTGTTGTGAGGGCATTGTAGTCAGTTGAATGTGTAATGAATGACCAGACAGATCTGTAACAGAACAAGTTTTTTCCTGGATTCGTTTTTCCCAGATGCAATAAACAGAAGGTCTTAGAACTCATCTGTACATTAGGTGCCCAAAGTTTAATAAGATGCTTTTAGTGTTCAGAAAATAACATCCAATTTGCCCTCAGGAATACATAATGATTAGAAAAGCTTATTCTCAGCCACTTCCCTAAATTCCAATAACTTTTTTTTAAAGAGGCCAAGACTTGTGATTAAAGTTTTAAAAAGGCTTTCTGCCTGATAAGGCTCTGGCAGTCTAAATAGATGTAGCACAGAAGGCAATGTTGATGGTCCATCCAACATCCATCCCCCTTCATTCCTGCTGGCAGAGCCGTGCTTTTACCAGGTAGTCTCTTCTACTATGTGGCACAGACTGGCCTCATTCCCATCTCAGGGTGGATCCTGATTGGTCTAAATCAATTATGCTGGCAACATGCCCTATGAAGATGTTTGGCTGAGGTAATTGCATATGACCCAATTTTGGCCTATAACACTAGCAGACAAGCTGTCTGGAGAGGGAGGGTAGGCTTTTAGGAGCAGTTAAGAGTCACTTTCCTCTTTTCTTTGTGGGCTAGGACGTGGTATCTCAAGTCTGCCCCAGCTCTGTTGGTCTTGTCATAGTGGAAGACAGAATCACCCCTGACCTGACCCAGCCACAGCTACCTTACGGGTATCTGGGGAACGAGGGCTGAGTACAACAGCAGGCACCTGGGCAGGTACTCCTTCAAACAACTTTAAATAATTGTTTAATATATGGAGTCAGGCTGACATAGATTTTCTATTAATACTTTGTTTACTAGAAACAAACTACTGAATTCATTTTCTCTAACTGAAATAAAGGCAGTATTCTGAAAATACCAGTCCACTTTTCCTCTTTTGAAGCTCTCTTTCATAATTTTCTGGAACCAGACAAGTTCCTTAGGGCACACTGAAGAACTCACAGTTTAGCTAACACAAAAGATCAGAACTATCAGCTACACAGCACTACTCATCCATTATTGCTTTTAGGATCTCTGTTCTGCTTTCATTGGAGAGCTAATGCTCCGGGATGTTGCAGAAAAATTCAGCAAGGATACAGGTCTGCTTTAGAAAAGAATGTTGTTTAAATTTCCCCTCAAAGGCAGTAGTTTGGAGGGGGCCCCATATTGTCAGTTCGTTCCAGTGATAAGCATCACTTAATTGAGCAGCATACCATAATAAACTGCTTGCTTATCCCCTGATGTGGCTCTGGGTCACAGATTAAATATGAGGACTGACAGAGTGGAATACAAAGTACCATGGAGCACAGAGGAAGAAAACAATGCCTTTTTAAGGCTCTTAAGAAAGTAGTTTGTATACTGGGAGAAAGCAAGGGTTTTAGAGCCAGGTAACAGACCCAGCTATCTCCTTGGTAGTACCCAGAACAAAAATTAAAATGTGAGGCCGCGTGTTAAAAAAATTAGTAAACATTTCGCGACAGCAACAGTGAGCATTAAACCAGGTGTGGGGGCGGCGGCATACCCAGGGCCTTAGGTTCAAATCTCACTCGTTCCCCCCCAAAGCTTCCTGGCTTTGGACAAGTCACCCTCTTTGAGTCTTCCCTTTTTTTTTTTTTTTTTGAGATGGAGTTTCGCTCTTGTTACCCAGGCTGGAGTGCAATGGCGCGATCTCCGCTCACCGCAACCTCCGCCTCCTGGGTTCAGACAATTCTCCTGCCTCAGCCTCCCGAGTAGCTGGTATTACAGGCACGTGCCACTGTGTCCAGCGAGTCTTCCCTTTTTATCCGTAAAACTGTGATAACTGAACCTCCCTTGAAGAGTTGTAATGAGAGTGGAATGAAAAGCACCTGACACATGATAGGTGCACATTTCTCTTAGTCTAGGATGTGGGCTCTTTTTTCGGTTGTTCTCCAGAGGCATCTATCTTTGACATTCTATTCTCATTTCCCACTTTCAAAATTTTTCAAAAGAGTATTAGGGTGAACCTTATAAAATGGTCCAAATCTGACAACCTAGGATCTACAAAACGGCAAATAATCAAACGTATACAAACTCCTTAGCACAGCTTGGGACAATATCGACCTCAGACCAAGGCAACTGGGCTCATTCCCCTGCGCCCGAGTTATAGCGGACACGCGCCCCTACCCGCGCCCTACTCCCCCTCGAAATCTTCAGACGCGCTCTTCCCCCACCTAACATGGAGTCCCTGGAGCACACTCCCCTTTTAGGCCACACTCCAGTACCCGGAATTCCGAGATTCATACCCAAACGGCCCTCAGCCCGCTTCCAGAACCGCTCGGCCTCTGCTCAGGGGACTCCTCCCCGCAGGCTGTGCGCAAAACTTGTGCCCCAAGAACTACCATGCGGCTGCAGTTTGGGGGTAGACGAGCGGAGATTCGACCATGCAGGTTGCGGCAGGGAGGAACCGTAGAGTGGGGAGGGGCCGGCACGCCTGCGCACCAGGCCCCTCGCGGGGCCGCACCGGCCTCGGTGGGAAGAGGCGGGCTGGCTCCACGGCTTCCATTCGTGTGTTTGCCCCTACTCTCGCGCCCCTTCCCTCTCTTATAACCCGCCAGCCTGGCTTTCAAGGTCCCCTATATTACGGCCCCCAACCTACTCTTTACAGTTTTATCTGTATACAGCTTCTCGGCACCTCTTCCCAACTGCTATGATTCCCCCAAATATTCTGGGCATTTTAAAAATACCTCTATGCTGTCTACACGATGCTGTCTCAACCCCTTCTCCCTCTTCTCCACCTGAATAAATTAATCACCCCTAGGAGTCCTCCCCGCCAACCCAACCCTAACCACCAGGCAGGGGAAGATGCTGCCTATGTCTTTCCCCTGTGACCTCCTAACATCCCCTATGAAAATACATCACAGTATATGTAATTATTATTTTTGCCCCTAGACTGTATGGAGCAGTAAAGATGCTTCTTTCTTTATTCTTCTTCTTAGTACCTACCCTAGCACCTGGCACTCAGTCACCAAAAGTTATCTTTCAGTGTGGTGTAGTCATCAAAATCCCAGCTCCTCCAGTGATCAAGTGGCCTTAAGCAAAATTACCAAAATCAGTTTCCTCTTCCTTAAGATAGAAATGAACACACTTTCCTTCTTGAAGAGCCCTAAGGATTAAATAAAGTAATTCATCCAAATTGCTTCAGCACAATGATAAATAGTATGGGCTCAATAAAGGATAACCATGATTAACTTAGCTCCTATATTCTGATTCCTGGTAACCTGTAGGAGAAAGTAAAGAGTCCTTTGAAGTCGGAAGTGTGGTTTCTGTTTTGACAAGAAAAATCTGTATTTAATAACATAATCTTAATAGAAGTGTGAAAAAAAGGGTGTAAAAAAATTACCTGAGGTAAGGTAACACTTGCTTGGAAATGGTTTTATTAAAAAGGTACCAAGACATATTTTTTAAGTAAATTCATTATGTAACTTGGTAGCCTTCACCAAAATGGGTAAGAAAAATAAAATCTATTTTGAGAGGTATTCATAATGTTTATCAATAACTAAATACAGAAATAAAATATAACTACCTTTGAGAACTTCTTTAAGAACTTTACATGGATATATATATATAACTATCATGTTTCTACAACTATTCTTACAAAATGTAGGTATAACTACAAAAATGCTCCAAGTATACATATACACATTCAGCTTCTTTTTTTAAAAAAAGTTAATTACAAATAATATGCTATTAGAAGCAGAAAACAATTTCTGAGTTACTATAATAGATCATATTGTCTGCTATGATTTGTTACCCCAAATTGTCTAATTGTCTATTAGCATATTGTGCAATATTAAATTAAGCTACTGATATTTGCATTATCATACATACAAATCCGCTTTTTAAAGAGAAAACCAAAAAAGGGAATATTATCTAAGCTTGCAGAAAAAATAAAAATTGTTTTATGTAACTTATTTGAATCATATTGCTCATATAGAATAAAATTGACCTACTTTGTTAAAGATCTCAATCATTTTCCAAGCCAGTGCAAAATAAAGTCAGACACCTTTTTTGTCTGCAAAGTATTCATGCTATTATGATGATCCTGTTTGCCTACAATCTCAACTATGGGAGACTATAAGCCTAACTATCTGCAATGGGTAACTGTACTAATTATTTTTCATGATGGCACATCTGACTGCATTTAGAATGGCTTAAATCGTAGAAGCTGCTAATTTAAAATCCTAACATATATGAAGATATCTGAGGTTGAGAATGAGTAAGTTATGGGGTAGGAGAAGATAACACTAGTAAATTCAGGGAGATTCTAACGCACAGAAGAAAATCTGGCATATCTTGTGTATTCTAGGTGGCAGAACTGAAAAATAATAGCTTTACAATAAAAACAACAATATCATAGTAAAGTAGATTTTCTTTGAGTTGTCTTTTGGGCTTTAAAGTATAATAAATGGGATATCAACTTTACTCTTGCCATAATGCTAAGACACAAATATTTGAATTCTGAATTGGAGGCCAGAGGAAGCAGGAACTTCATTATGGAAAGAGATGGCGGAGTTTGGTGTTGAGTTCTCTCTCCTTGCTTAAAAGATCCAGGCTGTGCTTTTTGAAGGCTTCAAACTGCAGCCTGAGTTCGTCATAGGCCTTCTGGTTACCATCTACTTTGTGCTGAAGCTCCCTGACTCTCAAGTTGCTGTCCACAGCCACTGCCTCTTGCTCAAACCGCTCCAGTGCTTGCCTCCTAGCCTCATTTGCTATCTCCAACTTCTCCTCAAGCACGCGGATCTCTGCCTGTTTGTTCTGAAGCGCTTTACCCCTTTCCATGGACAGCTGCAGCAGCTCCTCTTTCTCTCTAGTGATGGTCTGTAGCCTGGCCTGCAGCTCCTGGCTCAGGCTGCTGTGTGTCTCCTCTGCCTTCACCATCTGCTCCACAGCCTGCTGGTGCTGCTGCTCAAGGCTCTGCAGCTGGCTGCGCAGCTGTTCTGTCTCCTTGGTGCGGGCGCAGGCCTGCTGGCTCTGTAGCTCCAGCAGCTCCTTCTCGCGGGCCTGTGCTTGGCAGGCATCTTGAACACACCTCTCCTTCAGCGTCCTCAGCTCCCCAGTGAGGGCCTCACACTGGATGGTGAGCTGCAATACTTTGGCCTCCTCATCCTTCAGAGCCTGGCTGAACAGGCTCTTATTCTCTAGCCTCAGCTTCTCATTATCCTCCCTCAGCTTGATGTTCTGACTCTTGTGTTCATCCTTGAAGCGGATCATCAACTCGTGGTTGGCTGCTAGGGTCATAAAGCGTTCCTCTAGCTTCCGAGTGTACTCACCCTGGGCCTTGAGTTTCTCAGCCTCCTGCATCCTCTTCTCCTCCAGCTCTGCATTGAGCAGCTCTAGGATCTCGCAGCGCTCCAAGGCCTCATCTGACCTCCGCTTTAGGAGGCAGATGAGCTGGGACTGCTCTTGAATGCGGGAGCGAAGCATAGCCTTCTCGCTCCTCTCCTTCTCTGACAGTCCCCGGAGGTTCGCCAAGGCTTCTCTCAGACCGTCCATTTCCTTAAACTCCATCTCCTCTTCCTGGTTGTTCAGTTTTTCATTTTGCTTCTCTAACGAATCTTCAGGGGGCGGGGTGTCCATCCTGGGAGCCTGCTCTTTCTAGGGCATAGGTGCTCTCCTCCAGTTAAGAGCTGACTACAGTCTTTTCCCCTCGGATTTCAAAGGCTGCAGGGCGTTGCTAGGGACTCTTGGCACTCCCCAGCAGCTGGTTTTTCCAGTAAGGAGCCCTGTGATTGGTGGACCGGTCTTCAGAATGTTATGAAATAACAACAGGGAAATCTGAGGGAGTCCAGAGCCAATCTGGTTGATTACTTTTGCCTTGCTAACCAATCACAGCTCTCAGTTGTCAACTGTTGCAGTGTCTGCCCTGTCCAGCACAGAGATGCCAACTCCACCCAACCTCCAGCCAGCATTAGGGGAGGAAACCTGACTCCACCTGATTTCTGGTAGTAGTAAACAAATGAAGCAGGTAATGATATATTCCTCCTCTCTCCTCTTCAGTTATCATGTAAATAAATGACTGTTTGTGGAAACAGGGTTGAGTCCTCAAACATTTCCAGTCGATGAATACAAAGTAGTAGTAGTATTCTGAGAGCCAGGATCCTAAAAGGCTACGTGTCTGCACCCGTAGTGTTTGGCACACCTCCATTTTGGTATTTAAGTATTAAAATAGGAAACCCCTGTGAAACTTCTCTTGTTTTCCTTAGCATGTCCCCACCTGGGCATAGATACTCTTTATTAGATATTTAGCACCCCCTATTTTTAGCCATTAGCAAAATAAGTCTACAAAAAGCAGTTTAGTGAACCATAGAAGCTTTAAAACAGGAAGAAAAAAAAAAAGATCCAAATGAGGCTTACACCATTATATGCAAAAGTAAACTCCTGATGGATTAGTTAAATGTAAACAGAAACTAGAAGAAAATGAAGGTAAACATCAAATCTCTGGGGCTAGGAAGGATTTTAAACACTATGTAAGATCAGAAGAGGAAAGCTTACTCAATTAGACTTCATTGAAAAAAATAAAGTTATGTATAATTTTTAAAATTATGTGACTTCTGAGGTCTCTCCAGGCCCTCTTCCAGTGGATTGTCCTGACATTTTACTCCTCAGACAAACCAGACTACGAAGCCAAACCCAAATCCACTAACCAGCTCTCTGGCCCTATCTTTAGGTGTTCCTCTATCTGGAATGCCTTCTTCTACTTTGTCCTTTGTCACTCTAAGTAAAGCTTTTTATTCTTAATTAAGAATCATCTCTGAAGGCTTTTCCTGGCCTCTACATGTCGAATGGGTCACTCACATCTTTTAGTGCATCCACTATAGCCTATTTGTACTTCTGGTGGAGGATGTGAAAACTTTCTTGCAATCACTGTTTATCCACCAGCTTCCCTCTGTTAGGCTGTGAGATCCTTAAGGCAGGGACTGTGTCTGCTTCATCCTTGATGATTAGACTAGTGCCTGGCACATGGGGGAGATTCAGATAAATGTGTATTAAGTGGATGTTGAAGGTAAAAATTAAATTGAGAAAAATATCCATAATATGACAGACACTTTTTTTTTTTTTGAGATGGAGTCTCCTCCATTACCCAGGCTGGAATACAGTGGTGCAATCTCAGTTCACTGCAACCTCCACCTCCCAGGCTCAAGCAATTGTCCTGCTTCAGCCTCTTGAGTAGCTGGGATTACAGGTATGTACGACCACACCTGGCTAATTTTTGTATTTTTAGTAGAGATGGGGTTTCACCCTGTTGGCCAGGCTGGTCTTGAACTCCTGACCTCAAATGAGCCACCTGCCTCAGGCTCCCAAAGTGCTGAGATTACAGGCATGAGCCACCATGCCCAGCCTAGACACTACATTTTTTAAATAAAGATTTTATACATATCAACAAAACATTAACATCTTAAGAGAAAAATAAACAATTAAATTCACAAACAAAAATGGCCAAGAATTTAACCTCTACAGTGATCCAATAAATACAAGTTAAAATTAGATATAATTTCATGTATCAAATTAGTCAAAACATTTTCTCTTAAGACTAACCAGGACTGGAAAAGCATATTGAAATAGGTACTCTCTTAAACTGTTGGTGACAGTTGACAGTAGGTACTGAGAACTTAAGATATTTTTATGCCTTTTGAATTAGTAATTCTTCTGGGGAGATCTTTGCTTAGGAAATAATTTGAAAGAAAACATTTTGCTCAAAGCTTTTCATTGTAGTGTGGTTTGTCACAACTAAAAGTTGAAAACCCAAGTGTTCAAAAAAAAGGGAATGGTTACAAAAATTATGATATATTCATAAAAATTCTTGTGTAGCCACTAAACATTATTACATTTATAGGGATTTTTTTAATGGCATGAAAAAGTTTTATGTTAGACAGATAACTGGAAAAGGCAAAATACAAAACTTAAAATTCAGATAATTTCTATCCTGTGAAAATTAAGGGTAGGGGAAAGAATTGACTATTATTCCTGTGGTCATAATTTCTGTTGGTCAGACTTATTATCTCCCAAGTCATAATGATAAGGAAAAACCCTGGGTGTCATTATAGAGATTGGATGAATTTTTAAATGCTTCATATTTTACTGGGAGCAAAACAAATCTGAAAGAAGAGTTTCAGGTTTTTCCCTCACTGTCAAAGATCAAGGTCTTGTGATTCAAGTCTTGAATTTATCTATATAAGGAAAGCAAGATTGAGGACAGGAAAATGTCCTAAGCTGAAATTTTAACAAGTACTTAAACAATAGGATATTGAAGTTTTGTAAAAGTGAGTTGTAAAGACTTTAAAAATGTGAACTAAACTTACTTGTAATTTTTTTCACATTTTTCTTCTGTCCTTTTCCTTAAATTTCAAGCTTCAGGGAGCTTGTTTAGTCATTTTCAAGACAAATGACTAGAAAATTAGAAGGATCCTCTTAAATAAAAGGGTCTTGCAAACATTGAAAATTTTGTTGATTATATAGTTGTCTGATATTGTAAAGTGAATTTACAAAATACATGTCCTAAGAAAAGGAAAAGAATTCAGGAAAAATACTCAAAAAATACACAAAAAAATACACATACACATTTATTTTTGTTGTTATTGTTGTTTGTTTGTTTGGGTTTGTTGTTTTTGAAATGCAGTTTTGCTCTTGTTGCCCAAGCTGAAGTGCAATGGTGCGATCTTGACTCACTGCAACCTCCCCCTCCTGGATTCAAGCGGTTCTCCTGCCTCAGCCTCCCTAGTAGCTGGGATTACAGGCATATGCCACCACACCCGGCTACTTTTTGTATTTCTAGTTGAGACAGGGTTTTACCATGTTGGCCAGGCTGGTCTCGAACTCCTGACCTCAGGTGATCTGCTTAACATGGGCTCCCAAAGTGCTAGGATTACAAGCTTGAGCCACAATGTCTCGCCCACATTTTGTTGTTGTTGTTGTTGTTGTTTTTGAGATGGAGTCTGCCTCTGTCACTAGACTGGGTGCAGAGGCACAATCTTGGCTCACTACAACCTCCACTTCCCGGGTTCAAGCAATTCTCCTGCCTCAGCCTTCCAAGTAGCTGGCATTACAGGCGTGCACCACCACACCTGCCTAACTTTTGCATTTGTAGTGGAGACGGGGTTTCACCATGTTGGTCAGGATGGTCTTGATCTCCTGACCTCATGATCTGCCCACCTCGGCTTCCCAAAGTCCTAGGATTACAGGCAAGAGCCACCATGCTGGCCTCACATTTTTTTTTTAAGAGTCAGGATCTTACTCTGTCACCCAAGCTGAGATCCTGTGTGGTAGTGTGATCATAACTCACTGCAGTCTTGAATTCCTGGGCTTAAGCAACCGTCCTGCCTCAGCCTCCTGAGCAGCCAGAACTACAGGTATGTATCACCATGTCCAACTAAATTTTCCACATTTAAAAAAGCATATATTTCTTTTTTGCTAAATATATTTTAATACACGTTTCTATTACATTTATGCTTACGTTATTTTAAATAACATTACTTCTGTAGATTAATCAAGGCCAAGAATCTGATAAGATGCTAATCAATATTCATTCATTTATTTGATAAACATTTGCAAGGTTATTTGCAATGCTAGATGCTAAGAATATGTTAATAAAATAGATATGATCACTGTGCTCAAATAACTTTAGTAACCACTTTGGTTCCTCTCTGCCATGGTTGTTTTCTTCGTTCAATCATTTTTTGCTAGCTACCTTTGTTCCTAAAAGTATCCCACATATTTCCTTCCCAGAGATCCAAGGTGACCAATGCTCTCCCTAGTGGTGACCAATGAGTCCTCTCCACTTATAAGTCTTTCCATGTTTCCCTCTCTGTTAAAGCTACCATTTACAGAGCTCTTCTAAGTACTAGGCATTCATACATCTCCCACTTCATTCTAATGATATTCTTGAAGGGTAGGCATTATTATCCATATTTTATAGATTACAGGTAACAAAGAAACCAAGGTTCAGAGAGGTTAAGCAAATTGTCTCATGTCACCCAGAGAATAAGTGATGGAGCCATGATTCAAATCTAGATCTTTTTGATACCAAAGCCCATGATCTTAGGTCACACTTCATTTGTTCATTTGATCATTCACTCATTCATTTCACATAGACTGAGAAACTATTATATCCAAGACTGAAGTTCTAACTGTTAAGATGATTACAGTTTAGTGACAAAGACAGATAAATAGCTGCAGTTCAGTGTGATCACTGCTAAAGTAATTATGGATAAATTAGACATCACTCTTTTCAAAGATACAGTGGTAAACACAGGGTGTTACTGAAGGCACAAAGAAGGGATACAAAACCAGTCTTGGATGAAAGGGGCATATTAGTCAAGATCGTTTTAATAAAACCTCAATTCAATTTAGCTAAGCCAAGTGGAAATATATTGGCTCAAAGTGCACTGAGGGAGCTCATAGAGTCAAAGCAGGAGTGGCAGGAACTAGGTAGGACTTCAACAACCAAAACTGCTGATGCAGAGCCACCAGAACTCTTTATTTCTCCACCTATTTCTCATCTCTATCGTAGACAGGGTGGAAGCATGATTTTCTCCAGCCACAGTTTGCACCAAGGATATAAGAGCTGGGTAGCTCCACTGGATTTTTGTAGGGATGGGATCTGTAATAGTGCTGGTGGGTGGGTATTCAGTGGGAAGAAAAGAAAGCAAAAATTTTGAGGCTATTGGAAAGACAGTGGTTGACTGGATAGAGGAGTGATAGTGGGAGGTGGCTGTTAAGTGTTTAAGGGATGGAGTCCACAATGACATTTAAAAATAGATGTTCCAGAATAATAAACTGAAAGCTGAAAGCATAGGAGATTTTAGTCAGAGTGGGATGTTTACATTTAATGCTTCACAGGTAGAAGTTCCCAGTTATAAGGAAGTTCATGGATTTGTGTGGCTGAAAAGAACAGAGGTTAAGGGACATTCAAATTGAGGTGGTCAAGGAACTGGGAAACCAGGGTGTCTGATGAACATTCCTATGCTGTGGAGCCAGGTGTCAGGGTCATCAATGAATGAGTTGAGGATGGTAGATGACAACAAGGGGTGGTAAGGGATAATCATAATAGCAAACATTTACAGAATGCTATCTGTCAAAAGCGAGCACTATATCGATTCATTTATTTTCTCCTATAGAGTAGGTACAGTGTCCCCCCTTACTTTTTTTTTACAGATGAAACACAAAGAAGTTAGATAATTTGTCCAAGATCACACAGCTACTAAGTGCTTTAACTGAGATTCAGATACAAGCTACCTGTTTCTGGAGGTCATTAATCACTACACTGTACTCCCTTCCTGATATAACTGGACAGCATACATTCTTAGAAACATTTACAGAAATAGAGAGGAGCAATAATCTGAAATCTGATCTCACATCCTGACTCAGGTACTCAGTGTGAGAGAGTGCCTTATTTTTGTAAGGCTGAAGGATAACCAGTTCTTTTGGAAAAACCCAGCCAAACAAAAAGGGAATAGTCTGTGATTGAATCCAGCATGTGGGGTCATTTGTTTTATAAAACAAACTAGTAAATAAGCCTTGGAGAGAGTGAAGATGAGAGTAGATGAGAGAGCAATCCCAAAGAAGAATGGGAATAAAAGTACAGTGGAAGGAGATACTTGGGGCTTTTTACTTGTATAATGAGTATGGATGCCAGGGATCTGCAAAGATGTCTAAGCAAGTTCCCTGGAAAATATAGCTGAGGGGAAGGGTAGTAGCCATCTCTGAAAGAACCTAGCCTACGTTAACAGTAATCATCCTTTGGATGGACTGCTAGACCATGTGAGAAGTCCATGGAGTTCCCAGGATCCTCACCACTTACCTAGAAGCTACAGCAGTCACGGTAAATGGAAGAATTTACCTCTCTGAAAAGAGTCAGCAGTGACCCTTAGAAATTTTACTTCATTTAAAAAATAATGATACTTTGAAATATTTTCACTTGAGGTAAAAACAAATTGCATTATACCTAGCTCTCGATTTTGCCAGTGTCTGTGTAACATCCCATTCTTCTAATAATGGACCACTTCCCTTTGGCCACAGGGTGGGCACATTACCCAGGCTGGGTGAATCATATTACACCACACTCCTGCCCACAGTGAATGGTCCAATAGGTGGGCATATGACACAGACTTGGCCAGTTTCCACCATAGGTCTCTCAAACTGAACCTAGGAAAGAGAAGTGCTTTAGCTGAGAAGTTGTGATGCTGAACCTGGCTGAGGTGCTATTTCTTACTCCCTGAAGAAGAGAGAGAGCATCTGAGTTTCTGGTTCCAGCCTGCAAATCCCCAGAATAATCTAGGTTCCCACAGTACTTCTTTATTCTGTGAGCTAACCCAGTATATTTCCAATAAATTCTCCTTTTTGGCTTATTTCCAGTTGGGCTTCTGGAAAAAAAAAAAAAGCCCTAAAACATGCAGTTCAAGAAAATACCTCCAGTTTAATAAAATGTACTTAGAAGTTTTAGCAGGGTGTTTGCCTAAAAGTTACACTGGCTCAAAAGCATGCCAAACTGAGTTCACTAAAGAATTCAAGTTGCCTACATTTTTTTGAGACAGGATCTCCCTCTGTCACCCAAGCTGGAGTGCAGTGGCATAGTCAAAGCTCACTGTAACCTCAAACTCCTGGGCTCAAGCAATTCTCCCACCTCGACCTCCCAAGTAGCTAGGGTTACAAGCACACACCACCAGGCCCAGCTAATTTTTTTAGTTTTTGTAGAGATGTGTTCTTGCTATGCTGCCCAGGCCGGTCTTGAACTCCTGGCCTCAATCAATGCTCTTGCCTCAGCCTCCCAAGTGTTGGGATTACAAGCATGAGCCACCTCACCCAGCCATGCCTACATTTTATAAAGCATGAAACTTACACTTAGCCTTCCTTTTGAACCAGGTAAGATTACATTTATGATTTATACTTTCTTTTTCATGTAAAACATCTCCTTGGACTTCCTGAGGCAGTCAGAATTGCTGTGGATAGATGCAAAGAAGGTGGGGGGTTCTATTATCCACTCTGGTGTTTTGAAGGTGAGGGATCGGGAGATAGGACAAGGCAGACTGTCCTGGTTCTAGATGGGGCGATTATGGAGCCAGTCTCATTAGTGCTCTAGAGCTGGCTGGATGCTGGTTTAACAGGTAACTGAAAGAAGAGCTGAGAAAGTCATTTGGACTGGGACGTGGCCAAGCCAGAACAGGGTTTGTGCTTCTGCCATTGTGTTCTAGGCAGTGTGACTCTAATTAGCTCTTTTTTGCCCTTACATAAAGTCAGAGCAAGAAGGAGAAATAGAGCTGGACTAAGCATTCTAATAAAAGGCCTGGGGAGACAATGGAAATGGCCTTGCCCTAGGTTAGTCGCTCTTATTGTCAAGTCGGTAGAAGATTCTAGTATCTATTTGGGAAAAGACGAAAGTATTCTAGTTGTTTTCAATGACATTTATTAGATGCTTGTTGAAAGATCCCATGTTTGCCTGTCACTCAGGCTTTCTTGAACCTACATTAAATCAGTGCTTGTTTTGAGAAAATTAAGCTGGTTGGGTCCTAAGGGAGAGTAATATGCTTCATATACTAAAATCATTTCCAAAGACTTTTTACTACTTTAAAAAAATTCCTTGAGATCTGCTATGTCCTTGAAAACAAAATAAATTTTAAAAAATCCTACTCTTAATAACACAGCCAAAGTTGTCCACTTAGGGCAAATGATGCCCAGAGTTGCAGTGAAGACTGTAGAAATATTAGCCCAGAGGAAGTTCATTAGCCTTGTTAGGAAATTTAGATGTTTAGATGTTTAGAATTCCAAAAATATTTTATTTAAAATAAGAAGTCAGACTAATTTTCCCATGTAATTTAAATCAAATGATAATTTATTCTGACTAAGGATTTTTATAAAATATTTTATGAAAAATTTTACATACATAAGAAATACAGTATAACTGAAAAGCTTACATTCTAATTTAAACTTTGTTGCAAAACATGTTTGTGACTACTCATGCTGCTTTCATATAGTAAAGTTATAATAAAAACAATCATATATATGCAGGGTTTTTTAAAAAATAAACTCATAAAAATATGGGCTGGAGACCTATTTTGGAATTAAGTCAAAACAAGCCAAAAACTGAATTTCATCTATGGCCAGTGGGTGGCACTAAAATACATTTGAGACTTGTTTTAACTGCCTGTTTTCTCAAGGCAGAAAAACACCAGTAAATTCAGTCTCATTGCCCTAACATGGAATTCCATATTTTATTAGAGATTACAGAGTAAATAGTTTCTTAAGGTCCAATTCTTTATTATCACCAATGTTCTGTCTCCATTCCCCCACTTTGAGTATCTTTTTGCTACTTTTTCCCATAACCTACAAGGTCCTGCAAGGGTACCAGACCCTCTCAACTGTGGCACAGGACTGTGACGTGAAACTCACAACGGCAAACTAGAACATTCTGCTTGTTAATAACACCCCATGTTTAATGTTCTGGGGCAGCTTTTTCTTTGAAGCAGCAGCAGAAATTCAATTTTCCTAGCTTGTTCAAATATCTTTCTTAATGTTAGAATCACAAATTACACAATTCGTTATTATTTAAATCCCTTGGGCCTTGTAATCAAAGAAGCACATGCAGATTGACTTTTACATGCTGTGTAGTATTCCTTAGTTGCACTTTGTAGATAGAAAGTGAGGATATTTGTCCACCTACTCAGATTTTCAAGATAAGATTCCACTGGTCTAGCAGTTTTCAGTGGAGGAGCCAGTGGAAATTGGGCTCATTTGGAAATCTTGGCAATCAAAAGCATTCTGAGAGGCAGTGTTGCTTCGATCCAAGTATTGGGGGAGTTTACCATCTTCTCCCAGAGAGCAACCTCCTCTGAAGTAGAGTCCATCCAGTCCACTTCAGTCCCATAACTTTTACCTGAAAAAAGGAAGTTTGGCATTTAGAAAGAAATAGCTCATTGGGGGATGGGGTTAGAGGGAAAGTCATTCCCTAATTATAACCACCAGTAGAAGCTAGGAAGAGCTTTCTTCACTGGGAGGGCAGGTATGAGACTCAATATAAGGAAGAAATGTTCAACTGTGTGAGTGACTCCATTTTTGTGATCATTACCATAATTCCCAGAGCAATGATTTTTCTTCAAATTAATGTAAAGGCCAGATAAAAATTCATCAGGGGATAGGGAGTTGGGAGGATTCCTACACTGGATTGGAGATGACACTAATGATCGCTAGGGAAGTGGGACTAAGGCTTTAGTGTCTAACAGACTCAATTTTGAATCTTGGCTCTACTGCTTTGTAGTTGTGTTACTTATTTTCTTGGACTATTAACATTGGTAACTACCTCACAGACTTGTGAGGATTCAACAAAAGAATATAAATAAAGCATTTAATACAGTGACTGGTGCTCAATAAATGTTATTGTTATTATTCAAAGCATACATTTAGCTTTGAAGGAGCATAAATGTTTCTGCAGGGCAGACTAGTGATGAAGGCTTTTCTGTCCCTGCCACTGCAACAGTAACTTAAGCTCTGTATAGACAGACACTTCACCTTGTTAATCCTCATATCAGGTGCCCTTAGCATCTGACATTTGTTTACTCATTTATTTCTCTATACTTAACAGACAACTGTTTTCAGGATATCTCGGTTTTTATTTGGAAGAAGCAAAGCAACAAACAAACCTCTAGTATCTCTGGAAAAATATGGCTCATAAAGAATTAAAAATGTAGCAAACAGTACCTGTTCCAAAGCCAATCCGAAGACCTCCCAAAAATTGGTTGGTTAATTTGTAATGGTCCCAGACAGTAAGCTCTACACAGGCTTCCGTCAGATCTTCAGGCCTGAATCCATCATACACCATAGTGTGGTTGAAGATAGGGTTGGTGGTTTTCCCTACAGCTCTTGTCTTCTGGCGGCTTTTCCTACTTGTATCTGGAAGGATGGTGCTACAAAAAGAGGCATGATTGTGGGAGCATTTTAGTAAGATAGTGAACATTCATGCTTTCAATACACAACAACACAGCTATTAAAGATTGACAATGGAGGAAAAGATGTGGAGAGAAAATGGTGGTGGTGGTGGTTTGGCAGAGGATAGCACTTGGGGTAGGAACACATCATGCTGAAAGATTCTGGAACTACAGTCGGCTACACTTGGTTTGAATCCTGACTGTGCTACTTCCTGAGTGTGCATTTACTCAACCTCTCAGACACTTGCTTCTTCATCTATAAAATGGGAATGGTGATGCTGACTTCATAAGGCTGAAATTAGAATTAAATAACATATGCAAAACATTTAGCTCATTGCCTGCATTTAGGAAGTGCTTAATATGCTAGTAATTAAAGATTTAAACATAAGACCTAACACCATAAAAACCCTAGAAGAAAACCTAGGCGATACCATTCAGGACATAGGCATGGGCAAGGACTTCATGACTAAAACACCAAAAGCAATGGCAACAAAAGCCAAAACTGACAAATGGGATCTAATTAAACTAAAGAGATTCTGCACAGCAAAAGAAACTATCATTAGAGTGAACCAGCAACCAATAGAATGAAAAAATTTTTTTCAATCTACCCATCTGACAAAGGGCTACTATCCAAAATCTACAAGGAACTTAAACAGGTTTACAAGAAAAAAACAAACAACCCTATCAAAAATTGGGCAAAGGATATGAGCAGACACTTCTCAAAAGAAGACATTTATGCAGCCAACAAACATATGAAAAAAGCTCATTATCACTGGTCATTAGAGAAATGCAAATCAAAACCACATTGAGATACCATCTCATGCCAGTTAGAATGGTGATCATTAAAAAATTAGGAGACAACAGATGCTGGAGAGGATGTGGAGAAACAGAAACGCTTTTACACTATTGGTGGGAATGTAAATTAGTTCAACCATTGTGGAAGGCAGTGTGGTGATTCCTCAAGGATCTAGAAATAGAAATACCATTTGACCCAGCAATCCTATTACTGGATATATAACCAAAGAATTATAAATCATTCTGTTATAAAGACACATGCACACATATGTTTATTGTGGCACTGTTCACAATAGCACAGACTTGGAACCAACCCAAATGCCCATCAATGACAGACTGGATAAAGAAAATGTGGCACATACACATCATGGAATACTATGCAGCCACAAAAAAGGATGGGTCCATGTCCTTTGCAGGGACATGGATAAAGTTGGAAACCATCATTCTTAGCAACCTGACACAAGAACAGAAAACCATACAGCACATGTTCTCACTCATAAGTGGGTGTTGAACAATGAGAACACATGCACACAGGGAGAGGAACATCACACATGGGGCCTGTTGGGGAGTGAGAGGCTAGGGGAGGGAGAATATACCTCATGTAGAAGACACGGAGATAGATGCAGAAAATCACATGGCACATGTATACCTATGTAACAAACCTGCACATTCTGGACATGTACCTCAAATTCAAAGTATAATAATAATAAAAAAAATTTGGAAGCACAGGCTATCCCGATTAGCTGTGATAGCCTAAGAAATTTGTGTTATACAGAATTGAAAAAGAAGAGTTTACTCTCCAGTTTACTAGATTTGACTTTGGAAATAAATTTTTTTTTACAATCACTTATATTTCATTTATGATAACAATTAAATGAACTTTGACCTACCTTACTTCTTATAAGTGGCAATATAAGACAATACACGTGGCAATACAAGGCAAGAAAGTCTGTGAATGTTCTCAGAATGAGGCTGACTTGAGCCGAAAAATCTTACCAGCTGACATCTATAAATAGTATGTGTAGGGAAAATCGTAAATAATATCATCTATGCAATTTAGATATATGTCACATAATATATTTATTTATTTAATAGAGAAGGGGTTTCGCTATGTTGACCAGGCTGGGCTCGAACTCCTGGGCTGAAGTGATCCGTCTGCCTTGGCCTCCCAAAGTGCTGGAATTACAGGTGTGAGACACCTTGCCCCACCAGATATATGTCACATATATTTAAAAAGCTACCACTGGTCTTCTGGTAGATCATATATATATATAATTTTATATATATATATATAAAATGAGTCAAGAAGCTAGGAGAGCATAATAATATCTGTTTAGTTATTATTTACTAGATGCCAGTCACTTTATATGTATAACAGAGAGAAGAGTTTGCCATTTAATAATCCAAATTATCTCAAGTTCTTGTGAGCTAACTCTCAGTAGCGGTTGATTAGCAAATCACTTTTCAAGTATCTGCAGTCTCATACGATGACCCTTTGCAAATGGGCCACAAAACAGGTGGGATAAAGGAGAGAAGAAATTCTCCCTGCTCCATAAAGGAGCCAAGGGGTGTGACATCTTATCATTAGAAATTTAATAAACTCTTTTGAACTGATTATTGCCCTCGCCAACAGATGTTTTCCCTAGAAGATATTACATATTGAGTATAAGACCTCTAGTTAAATTTGACCTCTTACTTTATGATTTTAAAGCTAAATGAATCCTTGAGAGTTCATGATGTAGATTCCTCTAGTTCATGTCTCCATTATCCCAGGTAAATTCATTTAAATTATGAATGATGAGTCAGCATTTCAGATATAGAGAACTGAAATGAACCGCAAAGGCCAGGCTATAGAACAGATGCAGACAAGAGTCATCAATACTATTACCATTTAACAAAAGAATTTAGATGGCTTCCCCTTAGCAGTGGCAGATCAAGGCATTCCTTCACCCAGATGTGCACTTCTCCAGTTGTAGAAAGCTTTTTACCTGTAATAGAAAAAGGAGAGAAAATTTTCACTGCCAGTTCTCTCTTGGCAATACTGTATCTGAAGATGTCAGCCTAAAAATGTTCTGGCACAGAGATACTAGCTAGTACTTGATGATAACATCTGAACTGATTAAATCTATACAATCTTAACTAAGTCTTTCATAATCTGATTTTACTGAACTCTGATAGCTCTATAAAAATAATTCATATTATTTTAAGTACTATTACATCATTCATTTGAGGTTTTGCCTGGTTCAACAAAATCAGACATCAAGAATGTGAATCACCCATTTAAAGTAATATTCAAAATATCTCAGTAAAATGCATACACCTTTCAAACATTAATACCAATATCAATTGGTGCTGGTGGAAGACATTTAAAACATATTTGAGTGTAAAGTAACCAAAACAGGTATTGACTAAGGCATAGTAATGTGTGTGTGTGTGTGTGTGTGTGTGTGTGCGTAATTTTTTTTTTTTAAGACAAGGTCTCACTCTGTCACCCAGGTTGGAGTTCAGGGGTGCAATCATAGCTCACTGCAGCCTCAATCTCTGGGCTCAAGTGATCCTCCCACCTCAGCCCTCCTGGAGTAACTGTGACTACAGGCATATGCCACCACACTTGGCTAATTTTTTAATTTTTGTAGAGACAGAATTTTGTCATGTTTCCCAGGCTTGTCTTGAACTTCTAAGCTCAAGGGATCCACCTGCCTCGGCTTCCTGAAGTGCTGGGATTACAGGTATGTGCCACCACACCCAGTCAAGAGTGGTTACACATTTTATAGGGATATTGTATGTACATACATAATAGTTAACATATGGGCAGATAGTTACTAAGAAGTTGGCTTAGTCTGAAATTGTTGTCTAGGCTGGATTCATATGAACAAAGGAATACTACCAGATTTTTCTGGATGAGTTAGCTAAATCAGTCAACCAAATAGTATTTAGTGAGCATCTATTATGTGCTCATCTCTATGCTCGGAACATTAATAGATATACAGAGAATACATGAAATAATCTATGCCCTTGGGAAATGTTTATAGTTATGCTGGAGATAATAATTCAAATAAAATGATAAAAATGTAATATACAGTGAAATACCAAGCTATTACTGCAATGTTCTAGAAGATGATATGATCAGTGAGAGCTAATATAGTCAGGAAAAGCTTTGTGGAGGAGATGGGGCTTCATCTAAGACTTTGGTAAGTTGAGGAGAAGAGGAAGCCATTTCAGGGAAGAAAAACTACATGGGCAAAAAACTCAGACATGGTGGTGTCCATCACAACACACAATACCCCTGCCCTCTACTACCAAGTGATAGAAGGAAAAAGGGAAATGGGGTTTCTTTGAATGTTGGCTATAAATGATAGGATACAAATTATATGCAAAAGAATCTACCTTTTAGGAAAATCCAGAAGTTACAAGGTGGTAGTCTAGCAGCAATTTGGCCTGAAAATATGCTTTTTTTGTCCTCTAATTCTTTTTTGGGGGGCGTAGGTATAAACTTAGAATGCTTTAGTCACTGTCCTCACCATCCATTATTTCTTCCGTCTCACTAGCTTCATCGCCTAGTTACTGAAAGCATTTGCATTTACAACCCCTGGTTTCAGCCATAACATTCATACGGATTCTTAAAGAACTAACTTGTCAATACCACATCACACCTACTCAGGGGTTTAAATGAAACATTGATTGGCCATTATTAATACCCATTTTTTTTTAGAATAAAGCAACATTTCCGTTCTCTCTCCCTCTTTTTCTTCCTCTTTCTTCCTCTCCTTCACTCCTTTTTTTTCTTTCCTTCTCTCAAAAAAAGAAAAAAAAGAAATCAACTTGTGGACCTCTAGTTCCAGGTCGGCAATGTCTCTCTCATTGCCTGATTTCCTTCCTTCCCTTCTCTCCCTCCCTCCCTCCCTCCCTCCCTCCCTCCCTCCCTTCTTCCTTTCCTCCCTTCCTCCCTTCCTCTCTTCCAAAAAAGAAACTAACGTGGGGAACTTGCTTGGGAAATGGAAAAAGGAGCTGGATGGTATTCATTTCCTGCCAGTCCCTTGCTCCTTAACTGGGCTGAAGACCTGACAAGGAGGCAACTGATAATCTTGAGGGAAAAGCTTTTTCTCTTAATGAGACCCCGAGAGTGGACGACCAATGAGCTTTAAGTTCTCTGGGATTTCATATGAATCCTCTTAGTTCCCTCCTGTGAAAAAGAACACTCAAATTCTATTCTTACGGCACTATCAATAGGTCCAAATTATGAACACAGGAATATACACAAATTCTGAATACAGGCCATTCACACTGTGAAGATACAAATTTTTTGGAGAGTGAGGTGAAACATAAGGACCACAAACTAAAAAAATGAGAATTTTCTCATAGAAACAGAAAGTAGAATGATGATTACCATAAGCTGGCGGCAAGGGAAATTGCTGGTCAACAGATACAGAGTTTCAGATTTGCAAGATGAAAAAGTTCTGGAGATCTGTTTCCCAACAATGTAAAAATTCTTAGCACTACTGAGCTGTATACTTAAAAAATGGAGAAGATGGTAGATTTTATGTTTTTTGCCATAATAACACAAAAAATTTTCTTATTTACAACTGTGAATACACTCATTTGGTCTATACATTACTAACTTGATAAGTTTGTTTAAGGCCTTACCTTTGAAAACACATAAATACTGGGAGAAGGGAGGGATAAGGAAAAGACATAAATCTGAATAGGAAATCATTACATACCAGGGACTGGTTCTGGGACATACTGGAGAGCTAGTTTCATTTCACCTCTGTTTTCTGTTTCAAGGGCAACTGGTGCTGTCTGAAAAGTGAAGCAATGTCAGCAGGTGTGAGACAGACTTTTCATCCTATTTGTTGGTACAAGTCCTGTTACAGAACCATATCTGTCCCATTTCTCGGACTATGTATCACTCATGAGTGCTCTGGATTAAAATTTCTCTCTGCATCAGAACTAGACTGTTGCCTTTATACCTGGACAAGCTAGGCTGTATATCTTGAAAAATCTTGTAGGATACCCAGAAAATATTTCAAAGCCTTTAGTCTCAAAGATGGTGAAGAAACCAGAATGGCTTTCTTGAAGATAGAAGAGCTTCCTTAGAATGCTTTAATTTTGATCAAAACACAACTATTTTGTTAGATATTCATCCAGCACATAAAACATTTATTTGTATTACCTTTATTTGAAGGAGTATGAGATAGTGTATGAAAGTAAGAGGGAAAAAGCTATTATCTTACATTTTCAAAGCTGTACTAATCTGATTATTTTAGGCCAAATGCATAGAAGTCTGTAAGTGTAACAAAGACTAAACAATAATTTTTTAAATTTCTATCTGTTATTTTCAAGTACAGGTTGAACATTGTTATCCAAAATTCTTGGGTCCAGAAATGTTTCAGATTTCGGATTTTTTGAATTTTGTAATATTTGCATATACATAATCAGATATCTTAGGGATGGGACCCAAGTCTAAACACAAAATTCACTTATGTTTTATACACATCTTCTACACATAGCCTGAATATAATTTAATATCATATTTTTAATAATTTTATGCAGTCTAACATTGATGGGCATTTGGGTTGGTTCCAAGTCTTTGCTTTTGTGATCAGTGCCACAATAAACATATGTGTGCATGCGTCTTTATAACAGAATGATTTATAATCCTTTGGGGATATATCCAATAATGGGATTGCTGGGTCAAATGATATTTCTATTTCTAGATCCTTTAGGAATTGCCAGACTGTCTGCCACAATTTGAATTAATTTATATTCCCACTAACAGTGTAAAAGCATTCCTGTTTCTCCACATCCTCTCCAGCATCTGTTGTCTCCTGATTTTTTAATGATTGCCATTCTAACTAGCATGAGGTGGTATCTCAATGCAGTTTTGATTTGCATTTCTCTAATGACCAGTGATAATGAGCTTTTTTTCATATGTTTGTTGGCTGCATAAATGTCTTCTTTTGAAAAGTGTCTGTTCATATCCTTTGAAATAACATTTAAGAACCATTTCTTTAGTGGAACTGTTTTATTGTATAGATACTAAGTTATGGTTTGTATCAGTTATTTATATTTATCACTTCCCACTATGATAGACTAGCTTGGATCACATCAACCCCTAAACTAAGAACAATTTAAAAGGCAAGATTTTAAATATCAATTTGAAAGTGCTAAAGGATTATTAACACAGACAGGACTCAAATGAACAAGATCTTAGAGTCTGACATTCTTCTCTGCTTTTCACTTTGAGGCATTTAAGTAGTGCCAAACTGAGCACATAAAAAGCCTAGCAGAAAGAGACTGAAAAGCTGAGCAGGGCTTTTAGCACTTTCATGAGGCTGGGGAGACAAAACTTGGAGTCCACAGCCTGCCAAGAAGGAATGGCACAGGAAAAACACTCTAGACCAGTGGTTCTCAAAGTATGCTTTCTAGGTCAGCACATTGACTGGGAATCTGTTAAAAATGCACATTCTTAGGCCCATAAACCTTGGGAATAGGGCTCCGAATCTGGTGGGTCTTTTTTATTGTTGTTGTTGTTGTTGAGACAGGGTCTTGCTCTGTTGCCCAGGCTAGAGTGCTATGGCGTGATCTCAGTTCACTGCAACCACCACTTCCCGGGTTCAAGTGATCCTCCCATTTCAGCCTCTTGAGCAGCTACCAAGCCTGGCTAATTTTTCTGTATTTTTTGCAAAGGCAGTGTTTTCCCATGTTGCCCAGGCTGGTTTCCATCTGACTACTGGACTCAAGCAATCCACGCCTTAACCTCCCAAAGCGCTGGGATTACAAACGTGAGCCATCACACTCAGCCACAGAATCTGTGATTTAATCAGTCCTTTAGCTAAATCAGATGCATGCTGATTTTGAGAACTACTTCCCATGGCTTTCAGTTGGAATCTCTTAAGGGCCTTAGCATATGAAATGGGCAAACAAAAACTAGACCAGATCACATGAAAACTGGGCTGATGCTTCAGAGTCAGTTCATTCCCAAATTAAATGAAGGTGGTCTATCCCTGCTCTCTACGAAACCGAAGTAAATCCTCCCAAATTATCCCTAGAACATTCTCATATGCAATACCCCACATACGATTAAAAAATGAACAGGCATACAAGACAAAGAACTAAGTGTCCAAACTAAGATTTTAAAAAATAGATAAGCAGGACTCACAAATGTTTAAGATATTGGAATTACCAAATACATATGTTAAATAACTTTGCATGCAATATTTATAGACAATGTTAAGATAGAGAATTTTAAGAGAGAAACAGAATCAAAACAGAGTCAAAAGAAAATATAATTTTGAAAATATAAGTTTTATATTATAAATTTGCTTAAATTGTAGATGGTTTTACAATTTAAAATAGAATAGACACAGCAGATAAAATTACTGAATTGTAAGAGGTTAGAAAAAAGACTGAAATATAAGAAAAAAGAATATACGGAAAAGAAAATAAGAGACATAATGGACAGAATAAAAAGGTATAACATACATGTAACTGGAGTTTCCAGAAAGAGAGGAGAAAATAGGGGGGCAAAAGCAATATTTGAAGAAATAATTGCTGAGAAATTTTTAAGATGATAAAAGATACCAAAACACAGATAGATTCAAGTAGCTCGGTGAACTCCAAACCTCAGGATAAATTTTTTAAAAATTACACCTAGGCTCATTATACTACAACTGCTAAAAATCAAAGACAAAGAAAAGTATCCTAAAATCTGGAAGCAGAAAGAACACATAACCTTCAAAGGAGCAAAAATAAGATTAATAGCTGACTTCACAACAGGAATGACCAAATACTATGAAATGACATCTTCAAAGCACTGAAAGAAATAATTGTCAACCTAGCAACAGAGCAAAAATATCCCTCAAAGATTAAGGTGAAAAAGATATTATGATCCAAAGAAAATCTGAAAGAATTTGTTGCCAGGAGATACTCACTAAGAGTAAAACTAAAGGAGAGTCTCTAGCAGAAGAAACAACTCCACAGAGAAATCCAGGGAAGGATAAAGAGCAATGGAAAGGCAAATATGTGGTTAAATCTAAATCAATAGACTGTATAAAACAATAATAGTAATGTCTTATGGCACTTAAAATATATACAATTAAAACGAATAAAAATTGCACAAAGGATGGGAGAATGTGTAAATGGAGTTAAAATGCTTGGTTCCTTTCATTGTTCTGGAAATGGCAGAAGTTCTCATTTATATTAGTTTTAACTCAACAATGCATATTTTAATCCCTATAGGAACCAATAAAAACTGAAAATAAACTACAACTGACATATTAAGAGAGGGGAAAAAATGGAATAATCATCCCAAACGAGACAACTATGAAAATAGGAATATAGGACAAATGGTAAGATACTAGATTTGGACCCAAACATGTCAATAATTACGTTAAGTGCAAATGGACTAGATAATCCAATTAAGAGACAAATATTTTAAGACTGGATAAACATCAAAACTATTGCTTATAAAAATATGTCTGACCTACAAGAATTTTAAAAGGCTGAAAATCAAAAGATAGAAACAAACTTCTAATCAAAAGGAAGCTAATAGAGCTATATTAATACAGGTAAAGTAGTTAAGGCAGGAAGCATTACTAGAGATAAAAGGGAATTTCAAAATGATAAAATGATTAATTCATCAAGAACAATTCTAGTTATATGTATATGTAATAAGACAATCTCAAAATAAATACAGTGAGTATAAGACAATCTCAAAAGAAATACAGTAAATCAAAAATAATCAAACTAAAAGGAGAAAAACCACACCACAATTGTAACTCTCATAGTACACACAGACATAAAGTCCATGAAGATATAAAAGATTTGAGCAACAGTTTTAACTTAATTGACAAATACAGAACATTACATCCTTTAAACACCAAATACACTTTGGTTTCAAGTGACACACGGAACATTTATCAAAATTCAGCCACTTATTAGGCTAAAAGTCGGTATTAAATATCAAAGACTTGAATTATTTAAGTGACCTTCCTGATGTCTCTAAAACATTTGTGTTAAATGATTTAAACATTCTCCCAATAATCTTTTTTACGTTTTCTTTTTTTTCTCTAGTTTAAAATTATCCCAAACTACAGATCAGTTCTCTGAATTAAATGCAATTAAGCTTTTTCCCATACACCAGGCCCCACATCAACCAACCAAATAAACAAACAAAAAACTCCAGACTTACCTTCCGCTTCAGAGGGTACCATCTCAATTGTTTATTCTGTTTGTTGTCCCAGTCCCATGTTTCCAAATCAAGTTCCACCTCCCCTAGGAAACTATTGCGCTTAAATGTATCCCGATGCCAAACGGACAGGTTCAGTTTCTGTGTCTTTAAGATTTGTTTTTCAATTTTATACTGAAGTTCAAAAAAGAAAATTAAATGATGAATAACATTACTTGATGCCAAAGTTATGACACAGAGATGAAGGAAAATTCATCTGTGTATGCCAGATTTTCTTATCTGTTAGGCTTCAAGTTCCCAAAATATTGCAAAGTCATCTTATTCTAAGTGCCTTGTTTCAAAGAGCTAAAATCCATCTTTCATAAAAGCTGGTTTGCTTCCCTACTCTGGAAAAGCAAACCAAGGCTCAAATATCATAGTTGATAATAGCTCTCTAATAATAAAAGCCAATTTTTCCATTTTTGGAGAATATTTTGAGACTAGATATAATACAAAATTCAGTCTAAAATACAATTCACGTTTAACCTGATTCTTTGTTTCCTACATAAGAGCAAGGTATTTGTTAAAATAGTCTTTTTAGAGCAGTTTTTGGTTTATAGCAAAACTGAGCAGAAAGAACAGAGTTCCCATATACCATGTACGTATGCAACCACACACACACATACTTCCCTCACTATCAACATCCCACACAGATGAGGTATTTCTCAAAAAAAGTAAACTTGTTTTTTCCTGCTTCATATGGCCAAGTAGAAAAGATCTGGCATCCTAAATGTTTTTCATCTCAAATGTAGTTTAATCTTTAAATATATATAATCATGGAAAGGACAATAGTACTTCTAATCTAAAAATAATTTCCATTTGGCTTTATGATGTACTACTTGAATGTCCATTGTGGTTGTAGCAGGTCTGCCTTTCTCTGAGCTTAACACTTAAATTAGCTGGCTTTTCCTGAGTATAGGGTTGAAGTAGCTGATCCAGAAATAGCTAGGGTACTAGGGTATATCATAGTCAAACTGTAATTGAAAACTTGCTATAAAAATTCTACAGGTAGTTAATTCAGACCACGGATGACTGAGTGTTGACTTAACTGCTTATTTTTCCAGAGGATGATCAAATACTTGGACAGAGTTTTCAGAAAGAGGGAATGAACAATGCCTATTTTTAGTTTTAAATAATCTGTTAGTCATGACTAAGGCAGCATGATGTAGTTTTGGGGAAGAAAAAGAAAATAAGTCAAGGATACTTTCTACTCATCTGTCCATTTATCTTTCCAGCAAACATTTTTTGAATACCTATCCCAGATTAAGGATCAAGACTTATTAAATGCTTAATGTGTGCTGATCTTTCATACAAATTAACTAATTTACTGTTCTCCACTGCTAAGGTAGGTAGGTAAGTACTATTATTACCTTCCTTTTGAAAATCTGAAAACTAGTGTCATCCCTACTTGGCAGATCTGAGATGCCCAGAGACACAGTTTATAAACGACCCTGAGTTGGTCCCTACCCTCATAGAACTTACAATTTAGTGGCAAGGAAGACAACTAAACCATTAAACTGCTAACTGTTAATATATCCTGCTATAAAGCAAGATTATTGAGGCAGCAGACAGCAGGAGGACTTAGGGGTTAAGGATAACCCCTCATAAGAGGAGGCATTTCAGACAGTGTAGGATGTAGCTGGGAAAATAATGTGCAGAAGAATACTCTGGCCTGAAGGAACAGAAAGTCCCAGAATGGTGAGAAAATGTATTTCCTAAAAATAATAGAAAAGAATACGGGGTGACTGGAACAAAGACTATGAGAGGGGAAATTGAGGTTGGAGTTCAGGTTGTGAAGGGACTGGTGTGCATATTAAGAAAGATGGCTTTGACCCTAAGGGTTATGGAAAGCAGAAAAATAGCATAATCAGAATTATGCTTTTAGAAGATCATTCTGTTTGCAATGCTCAACTTTATCAGCTGTTTTTTTTTTTTGAGACGGAGTTTCACGCTTATCACCCAGGCTGGAGTGCAGTGGCTTGATCTCGGCTCACTGCAAGCTCCACCTCCCCGGTTCAAGCCATTCTCCCGCCTCAGCTTCCCAAGTAGCTGTGATTACAGAGGCCTGCCACCACGCCCAGCTCATTTTTGTATTTTTAGTAGAGACAGAGTTTTACCATGTTGGCCAGGCTGGTCTCGAACTCCTGACCTCAAGGGATCTGCCCACCTCGGCCACTTAAATTTGCTGGGATTACACTGTGCCTAGCCAAGCTGTGTGTTTTTAAGTAATTTACCTCATTTCTCCAAGTTTCATTTGCCTCATCTGTGAGATGCAGATACCAACAGCAGCCTGCCAGTGTATGTATGGCAAGTGAATGAAATAATGTATTCAACACTCGTGGTGTTTCGTCTCAAACCAAACAGAACATTTGTATTCCTTTCCTTCTATCTTGGTGACTGATTTTATCCTGTAGTGCTACTACCCAAAGACATGGTAAATAGGTCACCATTTAGGAATTTTCTATAGAGAGAGTTCATAGATACCCGCAGTATTTCGTTATACACTGGATTCAAGGTTTTCTTCACTACGACTGTTTTCTTCTTGCCCATTTTGCCTTTGTCTGGTAACAAATAGGCCTTTACATATCTAAAAAGGAGAATTGAACAGACAAGAAAGTCAAAGAAAATAAAAGTGATGTTTCCACCTCTATTTTTAAAAAATACATTGAAAGCTGACAGCAGAAATAATTATTTCATGACACTGAGAAAAGCAATGAATAACAAATTTTCCCACCAACACCTTTATACTTAAATGTGTAAAGGGATTTAGTAGAATTGATCATTTAAGATTGTTTATAAGATTTTTAAGGAACATTTCCTGAATTCCTTTTTTCCTTTGGCCTTAACTAATACGCAGGAGTAGGAAGGGACAGAAAACACACTTCCAGGCTAGGCACAGTAGCTCATGCCTGTAATTCCAGTATTTTGGGAGGCAGAGGCGGGCGTATCACCTGAGATCGGGAGTTGGAGACCAGCCTGACCTACGTGGAGAAATCCTGTCTCTACCAAAAATACAAAATTAGCCAGGCATGGTGGCACATGCCTGTAATCTTCAGCTACCTGGAAGGCCAAGGCAGGAGAATCGCTTGAACCCGGGAGGTGGAGGCTGCAGTAAGCCGAGATCATGACATTGCACTCCAGCCTGGGCAACAAGAGCAAAACTCCATCTCAAAAAAAAAAAAGAAAGAAAGAAAGAAAACACACTTCCAACATTAAGCTTAATCCTGTTAGTTTGCTTCTAACTGAGAAAACACTTTGGTGCTTGCAGTATTTTAAAGTTTTTGTTACTGTCTTTTGAAATGAATTAATCTTACTATACACCTAATCAAGTTACCCTCAATGTTAAAAAAAAAAAAAGGATGTTGAGCTCAGTTGTTTTTATAATAAGAATAAAAGCAAAAAGGATTAGGCTTGTCTCTCAGCAAAATAATTAAGAATGCATAGGGATAAGTGGGGAATACCATTCAGCGTTTGCAAAAAAAAACTGAAGGGCAATCAAACCTGTGATTTTAAAAAAAAATTAGTAATTTCCCCCAAAGTTCTGTAAGATACAATTTAAATATGAAAACTCTCTCATTCTAGAGTCTTAACTAGTTTTATACCATTGAGCATCATGAAGAGTGTTCCACATGTCTCTTAATTTTGTAAAAAGTTTGAGAGTGTGGTGGAAAGAGACAGGTTCACGTCCTCATTCCTCATTTTGCTTCTATCTGAATTAACATATATGGGTTACTTGTCTTCTCTGGTCCTTGCTTTCCTATCTGTAAAATGAAGAAACTAAACAAGATGACCCCAAAGGTCTTTCCAAGTTGAAACATTTTGTGATTCCCTGTGATTTTTGTAATTTAATGTTTCAGATATGAATTTATAGAACAAAACAGCATTTCCCCTCAATTTTTCAAACATTCTTTTTAACACACACACATACTCTCCCTTTTTGATTACTTTAAGATCAGTTCCTATAAGATTGACAGTTTGAGAATTGAGGGAAGGTAGGTGACTCCAAAATGTACTTACGGGTCTGAACGCTGTTTTTTTACATCCGCTGCTGCTAGGTCTTTACACTGGGCCACAAAAACATGCAACTCCTTCAGTAACTCCACATATTCAATTGCAAACTGAATATTTCCTTTAACTTCCAGACTGCCAAAGTCTCCACTGTAAACACTCATCACACTGCCACTCACCTGAAAGCATTAGAAATACACAGTGTTTGTCTCTATCTCATTCTTAAACCTAGCACAAGGATCATGGATATAATCCTTGCTAACACTATTTCTTTAGCTTACTTATCAAAGCAGTTAATTCAACATAGTATAAAGACATATCTGTAAAGACAACTTGACATGATATACATAACTAGAACTTTTCATTTTGTTTTGTTTTTGAGACAAATACAAACAAAACCCTGTTGCCCAGGCTGGAGTGCAGTGGCTTAATCTTGGCTCATTGCAACCTCCGCCTCCCAGCTTCAGGTGATTCTCCTGACTCAGCCTCCCAAGCACTGGGATTACAGGCACATGCCACCATGCCCAGCTAATTTTTGTATTTTTAGTAGAGACAGGGTTTCACCATGTTAGACAGGCTGGTCTCAAACTCCTGATCTTGAGTAATCTGCCAACCTTGGCCTCCCATAGTGCTGGGATTACCAGGCATGAGCCACTGCACCCAGTTGACTAATGCTTTTTAAAAAAATTTTCCCTACAAGACAGATGAAAAGTGAAATGCAATGTTATTTAGATGCTGGCTCATTTCAAAGCAGGGTGATTTTATGCTAGATGGCATTCAAAGTTCCATATTCAGGCATGCTTAATATTTAAAATCCAAAGGAAAGAAGATGTGAGAAAACCCAGACACTCTAATCACAGTGACACATTGCTGTATCAAATTTCCAATGGACTAAAAAGGAATTTTACCATGTTACCCATCCACTGAATCTAGGAAAATGCTTACTGAGTCATGCGCTTTTAGAGGTTAGGAAGGGTAGAAAATGGATGATTGATGAAGAGAGTTTGAAACCTTCCCAAGGGCAGATGTTAGATTTTCATCAGTAGAAACTCAATTAAAATAGGTTTTTTTTAAAAAAAGTTTTCAGAAACAAAAGCCTAGCAAGAATTTAAGCACAGCTTTATCATTTGTTTAGCATACCTGGTGAAATATATGCATGTGTATGTATATCCAAGAAATACTCAGATAAATGTATGTAGATTTATTTTTACACACATGCTACGTGCACATACAACTTCACCTTATGCAAGTTCTATGTAAAGTCAAATTGTCAGATTCCCTTAAACCAAATCTGAGTTTAAGGAGCTTTAAGGAGCTTTCCTTTTAAAACGCCGTTCAGATACCTTCTAAAAGGCAAAAAATCACCTCTTATATTCTTTCATGTCAATCAGTATAGTTATTCATCAGGATTACTAAAAGAGAGGTACAATTCTGTGCTTGCAAACAGTATATAAAAGCATATCTGATACAAGCAGATTTTATCATACTTAGCCCATTTGTTGCACAGAAAAATTTAGTGATTCATTTTCTTGGCAATTTAAGTTTATTTGTGAAGTACTTACATCATCAACAACAAAAAAACCCATAAACATATATTTATGATGGATATGAACCCCTTTAGTCTAAGAAAAAAAGATAGATATAGCTAGCCAGAAGCTAATTATGGATTAGAGAAACTGCTTGTGCCCTGAGAAATACAGCAGGAGGCTGTTTTACAATGAGCATGAGCATATCAGAGTGAGGTTCAGAAATGCAGAGAGATATTAACATGGAGCCTTTGTTTACATACAGAAGACAAGGACGTCATGCCAGAGGAGCTGCTAAGATTGGTTAAAGAGCTCGGGCTCTTCTTGTGTCTGCTGAGCTGGTAACTGCTTTCTGATGCTGTATCTGTTTCTCTGTCATCACTCTACAAAACAGCATATGATATTCACAATATTTAAATTCAGAATGAGTCAAGATCAGAATCTGTTTAGAAAAGATGATATTTTGGTATCCCACTGACATTTCTGCAAGGTCAAAGGATGCTAGGGTATGATTCAGGATGGAGTGGGTGGTCTGCCTTGACCTCATCTAAGAAGGAGGGCAGTGCTTAGCTACCAAAATAACAAAGTGCTTTTTTTCACCTACAAAGTGGTATCTCCCAAAATGCTACAGAAGACAGCACTACTGTGACCTTTTTACCATTCTTTCAATATTATATATCTATTTTCCTGGAGAACTCTATTGGTATATATGAGAAATTAATTTTACCCAGATAATACAAAGATTGACTGTTAAAACCAAACGTCATGTTTAATTCCTCTTATTATTAGCATAGCTGTAACTTCTTTAAAAATCAAATCTTTTCCTTGAGACATTACTAAACTAGGAAACAAGAAATGCTAGTCTGATTTGTTTCAACTCAAGGCCATATATATTTTTTAATTTCAAAAATTTTTAAACTTCCCCTTACATATTCCTATGTGTTATTATGCTTATCTTTTTATTGCTAGAGGGAAGTATATTAAATTATACATTCTACCCACATTAGATTTTAACACAGTTTAAAAAAAAAACAGCAGTAAGATACAGGTACTTATTTTAAATATGTCTAAGGAAGTATTTACCTGGGACAAGAAAGAAAAGTTACAGTAACAAATTTTATTATATTTGAATCTAAACTTTATTAAATAGTAGCTTTAAAAATTTATGATTCAGAATGAGCTCCTTTTAGGGTTAGAGAGCTTATGGAACATTGAGTGGCACCAGGGGTTAAGGGACACCTTTATGGAGGAGTAGTTAGTTCATGCCAGCATATTCCAGGACCATGCAATTATGCATCAGCATAATGGATGCCATATCTAATGCAGATTAATAAAGGAGTTAAAGAAAAACAAAATTAATGCTTTACGTGGATAAGAATGCTTTCTCCAGGATTAAAAACAATTCATGTCTTTTAAATGTCTCTGTTGTTATACTCTCTCCCCACATGCTGATAGTCATTTCCCTCTCTCTATTTTAGAACATACTACATTCTACCTAGTATATCAGATCATTAGTGTATTATTGGAAGGATAGGACTCTGCCTTGTTGATCTGGAATGGAGTTTTATATATAACTGGCATTCAACAAATGTGACTGATGATAAGTCTCAAAGGGAACGGATGAACAAGGCCTGATTGCATTTCCACTTTCTTTAATATCCAGTTCAACCTTATACCCCATGTAAAATGATACAGCTTAATTCTGGCATCTCTGATACACAAACCCAAATGATTTGAATTCTCTTCTGTGTGGAGCTATGAGATAGCAGGTTAAAATTGAAGAAAGGAGAAAAATTAAAAAACAGGAACTTATATAATTTGCCTCATATATATATAATATATACATACACACAATTTTTTAAAAATTAGACAGAGTCTCACTCGGTCACCCAGGCTGCAGTGCAGTGGCACAATCTCAGCTCACTACAACCTCTGCCTCCCAGCAATTCTCCTACCACCCTCTCGAGAAGCTGGGATTACAGACATGAGCCGCCATACCCAGCTAATTTTTTATATTATTTTTAGTAGAGACAGAGTTTCGCTATGTTACCCAGGCTGGTCTCTAACTCTTGCACCTCAATTGATCTGTCCACCTCAGCCTCCCAAACTGCCAGGATTACAGGCATGAGCCACCATGCCCAGCCTCATATTATATGTTTCAACTGCATGTCATGCCTACTGTTGGCATCTAACTAATGAATTTGTTCCAAAGAATGAGTGATTCTTTCCAAAGGAAACTGTAACATGTGCTCTTAACCATATATAAGGGCTGAATATTTGCAGAGACAGTTCATCGAAGTTCATCGAATGGACAAAAGGATACCCAGGCCAGTGACAGAATATAATCTATGTGTTGCCCAGAGCTTTCCTCAACATTCCATCTACTAAGAGAATGCTTGAAAATGAAGCCTTTTCTTTCACCGTTAGAAATCAGACCAAAATCACAAACAGTAGCAGCTAACATTTACCAGGTACTCATTATATGTCAGGCACCTCACTCTGTGGTTTCCCTGTATTATCCTACCAATACCCCACAACCTCATGTGGTAGGTGCACAGAAACCAGACTCAGGGAAGGTACTGACTGTGTCCAAGATCCCAGAGAAAATCAGTATCATACCAGAACTGGGGATGTCTGCCTCCAAAGCTTAGGCACCTAACTACATGACTGCAAGAACATGGAACCTGAGTTAAAGTCCTAGATCTACTCTTCAGTAGCTATTGGATTGGGGAAAGTTATTTAACCACTCTAGGGCTCTTTCTTCATTTGTAAAATGAAGAGAATAGTCCTTGCCACATATAGTTAGTAAGAGTTAGATGTCAGAATGAGTATTAGGTACCTGGCACACACTAGATACTCAATGAATAGTAAATTATAGTCATGTGCTTTCTTGAGACAAGACAGTCATTAACAGCACACAAGTTGGATCTGTGCTCCAGTCCTGGTTGAACCCCCTTCTAGCTGAGTGAGTTACTTCACCTCCCTTAGTCTCAGTTTCCTCACCTGTAATGTGTGGGGATAATGATGGTACCTACCTCCTAGGGTTGTTGAAGGATTAAATGAGATAATATATATGAAGTGCCTAGCATCCAGTAAATAATCCTTAAAGCTTGCTATGTCAATGTTACTTTATTAACAAACACTTTCAAGCCAGTCATGCTACTTAAGTTTTCACAAATCAACTCTAATCCAAACTGCAGAGGAATAATCAGTTCAAATACCTCCCTGGATTTCTTATTTTGTATTTACTTTAAAACAAAAGTTACATTCCAAAATCTATGCAATTTGACTTCACTAACCAAAAGGAGTTACTGTTTGAGTCAAATGAGAGTGCCTTTCCATGTTCCAGGATAAACACTATCTCTATTGACTTGAAAGGCAAGGGCCAGTCCTGCTGACCTCTTTGGTCTCTGCCACAGTGGAATACAAACAAACCAACCTTGGCACAGTAATTCCAACCCACTGTCTCCATTTTTCTGAAGGTACAAAAGACAAACTTGCCTCATCTTGGAGAAATGCTGGAACAGACTTGCTCATCCTTTTGAGTTTGTCAGGGTGAGAAAATGGATTATCAGGCTGTGTAGGCACTGTGGAAACTAAACAGCAGCATTTCCATTTCAAAATTATTCTTGTAATTGTCATACAACATTAGACATAAGTTGAAAACATTTTTATTTAACCTATGAACAAACACGTTTTTGTAAAAAAGTTGAAGGCACAGTAATTCACATGCACAGGAACGTGAGATAAGCAACATGCAGTTTTTATAAATTACATATAGAGACAACAAGCAAGGAGTTGAACCAAATGCAAAACAAAGTTAATTTTAAAAACACTGGTTTTTATTGAACTGGAGCTGGATTTGAATTATACTGTCAACGTATAATTTAGCTTATTTTTAGCTTATTTTTTATGGTTTAGCTTATTTTTTCACATCAGAGCTTTGGACCACAAGGTCTGTATTTTATTGGTTCATCTCCTTGAGATATATTGCTAACACACTGCAGGCCGAAAAACTATTTCATCTGGACAGTCAAGATTTTTGTACACAACTCTGTAAAAGTGTTCTGGCTATTGAGTGTCTAAAAGTAGGTTTGTTTGTTTACTGATCATGAGTATTACTTTTCTGATAGTTTTTCACTCAGAATTATAAAATAAATATTATTTTTTGAAAATAAAAATTATTCAGATAACTTGCTGATTCAGAATTTTCAATATCCCAAGGCCAAGTTAGAATAGTTAAAGTTAGGGTACTCTAAAAATTTAATAAGAAAATATAGTATATGTCTTCTTTCTGATATAGAAAGTGTAGAAGGCACAAGAGGAGGGTAAATTATAATCCTAATTTCCATATACCTAGTTAGAAAACTATTTTCTTCTCTGTGTAAGAATCACAACATCTAAGCTTTTCTTATGGTAAATCATAGCTCTTATAATGAATAAGTTAATATTTTTCAAGGTGCTTAGTGCCTAGCACAGAGTAAGTTCTATATAAGTATTTTCTACTCAAATAAATATTACCTGATAAAGAATCTTAAATTATACTGTCAATGATAGATACATTGATTTTCTCATTAAAAGAAATATTAGGAAAATAGGTAAAAATCAAATTATATTTCTATACATAATGCAAAAGACTCAAATTCATTCCTAAACATTAAATTGATCTTTAAAGAAGCTCATAAAAGAAAAACTAAAAAGTTAGCTACACATACTAAAGATATCCTTGCTCACAGAGCAATTCTTACCTATCTGTAGGCTCACAGAGGTAAATGTATATTTAAACACATTTATGGTGTCTCACTAAAATGATACCAACTTTAATCATTTCCCATTAAACAACAGTGTATGTGTATTAGAGACAGTTAGACTGGACCATATTAGGTCCCACAATATAGTCCAATGAGAAAAGTACATTGTTGGATGATGCTATGAGAGTCAAATTCAATTATACCCCATACTCGAATATAATCAAGTTTTGATTTACAGGCTTTTGTCATTTGTGTTTTGATCATGCATTTTATTTTTGTGGTAAAAATATAGTCTTTACCAGTGAAAAGGCATTAACAGTTATTTTGGAAAAATCACTAAAAAGGGAGAAATTAATTACCCAGAGTTCAGCACATGATTAGCCTAACTGCCTTGACCAATAAACTAAGCCAATTAGGAGATCGTGAATAAAGATACAGATATTTAGGCATATATGTTTATGTATGTTTTGCTTTTATTCCTCAGACTAAATTTTGAACAACACATCGCAAGATAAAATAAGATGCTCAAACTTAAGTATGTTCTAGTTCAAAAGCAACTGGAAAAGCCTCTTTACCTAACACCCCTTAGAGACAGAAGGCTTGTTTCCTCTGCAATAGCCAGACAGAGAGCACATACTCACAAAAGCTGAAGCCTGGACTGTCTTCTTTCCTAGGCAGTCCTTAAGAATTTGTCAAGTCATGTGCCAAAGCTCAGCACCTTCACTACTGGCAGGAGGACCTCATGAGCAAAGTTTCAGGTTTCACACTACATGTCACTGACTTTAAGCCATCAGCACATTGCTTTCCTATCTAATAGCTCCTCCACTTAGCTGCTTTCCTCTTAAGTCCTATTAGCATATGCAAAGACTATTGGGAAATTATTATTTAAAATATTGTGGCCTTGAGGGTAGACACGTGTAGCATTATCTTCATTCCCCTAGTGCCTAGGGTTTATGAAACAGAGTGAAACCAAGAAGCTAAAAAATCACACACACACAGACACACACACACACACACACAAACATACACACACACCCCTGCATACTAGGGGCCATGTGAACACTTTTTAAATACATTATTTGTCATTAAAATACTAGTCACAGCTAAGTAGAATAATCTTAAGATTGAACAGAAAAGAATGAACAAACATTATCTTTGCTAGATGATGGACATTAATTCGTAGATGGGCATTAGTCACCACAGGTATATGTTTACTTCTTAGATTCACTTGTTTACTTGTTTTATACTTAGAATATTTACCATTCAAGTCAGTTTTGAACCTCAGAGTTTAAACCCTGGGCATAATAAGATTTGCTTCTATGGATATGGAGAGAAGCACATACTCTAACCATTCTTTTGTAGGTCCAAATAAGTTACAAATTACTTCACATCTATAGTTTCATATAGAGGCTGCAAGAGATCCAATACTCAAAATTGTACTGCAACATGAAATCCAAATGAAATCAGAAGGTGCCATGTTGCTTTTAAGCAGAGATTCAAACAGCACAGAGACTGACAAAAGCACAATAATATCAGCAATGACATATATATTTAATATACAACTCCCCCTCAGTGGAACCATGAATCATTCTTTCAATAAAGACAATGTAAAATGTTTTAAATAAAACCCTTATCATAATGAAATAGTTTTGCAAGCTGCAGGAGTTTAGTACCAATAATAAATGCTGTGTTATTAATGGGGTTAGTTATTTCAGTATATTTAACACTATGTAAAGCGGAACGTTCAGTCATTTGTGAGAAAGATCCTGCTACTCACTTCTTGGTACGCATTCATTTGTATCTGGTTCTGGATCTGCTTTTTCATCTACTCAAGAGGGCAACATTGAGAACAAATACCATTTTAACAGAGGGATTAAAGAGACATGAAAGTAAAGCTCAAATGCCAGTTTCACAACTGAGACAGCAGAATACATCTGACAGGTTTTCATCTTGCTTTTATCCGTTCCTCAGTGTGACTCTTCATTAGCCTCTTTAGTCTCCTGTTCAACTAAAAATCTAGGATCCAACACAGGAGATATGAAGCATCCTTCCTGTAATTCACTAGACCACAGCATGGAAAATGGGAAGGAGCACTGGAAAACGGGAAGGAGTAATAAAGCTGAGATTCTATTTCCTGCCCTTCCAGTGACTGACTAGCTACAGGATCTTAGAAAAGTCACCTAATTTCTCTGAGTTTTTCTTATCAGCAAAATGAGGATAAAAATCCCTGCCCCATCAACTTTGGTGAGGTTGTTGTAAATATAAAATGAGAAAGACAAAACTATTACATAAAAGTAAAGAATGACCTTTAGGAGCTCTGTTGCTGAATTTATATGGGAAAGCTCAGTGAGTACATACTTTTATGATTATACCTAAGGCAATTAAACAATAAATAAAATCCAGCATGCAAATACAAATTATACACTTACATAAATTCTGCACTATAAAAATCAGACTCATTTCCATCTCTCCTCCAACCAAGGCACCATTATCCTATTCATTTTATAACAAAGCCAAGTAATAACTGATCCACTGACAAGTTTCAAGATCTTTTGGCTCCATTATATTCAGAATCAACTTCACCCTCTGTCTATATTTAGTTATTTATATAAGCAGGGGCAAGATTTCCCACCCTTGTTCTGGGACTCTTTCCTTTGAACTTAAGATTCTGCCAGCTGTTCCCAGAGAGATCTAAATGCTGAGACTTGAGAATCAAACACAAGAATAAGTTAACCCAGGAATTCACTCCACTCTTTCTGCCTTCACAACGAGTTCTGCAAGTCAGAGTAGCAAAAATCAGCTTATATCCCAAAAAATACAATTTTCTATTTATAGAAACTCTTGCTTCCCAAGGGTCTCTGATGAGATCCTCATGATAGTATCACCAGCAGAAGCCTTAAGAATACAAACTATATTGAATGCACCAAATCAGAACTGTTTTATAGTAACTTAGGCACTATTCACCATATACCAGCAAATGACGTTCTTCTATTTACTCAACAGCTGCATCCCGGCGACTGCCCAAATCACCCCAGAACTTAATACACAGACAGACATGCAAATACATAAAAATATTTACCATCTTCAGCACTACGCACTAATTCTTCTGGCTGATTATCTACTTTTGCTTGATCTGTTCAGAAGAAATTAACAAATGGTTAACATGGCTGACCCTTGGAGAGAAAAGAACAATGAGATTGTCCCTGGAAGCCCCCGGAGTTGGAAGCAATTAGTCAAGATGCAGTGAGGGGTGCAACCAAGATGTCTTCCCCAAAATACTTTCTCTTTAGATTAGCTACTTGAGCCAGTGCCATAGCGGGTGCTCCCATTTCAGCCTGGATGTAGCTCACATCAGCACACTGCTGCACACGGACTCCCAAGGGTTAGAGGGTTAGCTCAGAGCAAGCAATCCGCCAGCAGCAGGAGAAAGCACGGGGCTGCAACAGCCTCTCTATTCTTCTGTAAAGGGTACGAAGCTAGCCATGACTAACACCTTCCCAAACTCATGGTCATTAACAAATATTTGTGTGTGTGCATCATCATTTGCGTATGCCTCTGGGAGGCTTGCTTGGGAAGTCAACTGAAGAGATGTAACAGGGGACCAGATGCTAAGTGGAATCTTGGCAGGCGTGTGAGAGTGGGTATCGGTATTTGGAAGGGAGCGTGTAGGAATACCCGTCAGCTGATGGTGATTTTTTTTTTTAACCCTACACATTCCTGAGTACTTTAAAGCTGCACCATGGAAATAGCTCCATGTTTCACAGGAAAGAGGTTTGCTAAATTGGACAATTGTTCTGAGGGTTTTTTTTTCTTTTTTCTTTTTCTCAGGACCCGTCACCAACATAAGGAGAACAATCAGGGCTGTCCAACAAAGGACTGGACTTGCCTTCTCTGGAAGCATTCAGGCGGATATGGGGGCTGGCTGCCTGTTGAGGAGGCTATAGAGGGAATTCCTGCATTGTGGGGAGGTTAAAATGGGTGATTTTTAAGATCCCTTCTAACCCTCAGATTCCAAGATCCTTGAGAGAGATAGGACTACATTCCAAATTGGGAATACTGTCTTCAAACCCCTGGGAATCTGTGAATTTTAAGAATTGTTTGGTGGGGTAGCTTTTTCTTTTCTTTTTTTCCTTTTTAAAATCTGACTTTTTATTCTTAGTTGCAAATGCATAAAAAAATATTCTAAACATAATGATGGCCAATTACCAATCATATGAGTTTGGCAATGGTTACCTTCTCACTCGATAATTTTTCTTACAATCATCTGCAATCCCCGGGGTGCATTTTAGCTTGAAAATAGCAAGAACAAAACCCCGAGAAGTCATGGTTTCTTAGTCTATTTGTCTTGCACACAACTCCCTTTATTATATATTATGCTTTCTGTTAGTACTCAAGAAATCCTTCACCATTAAAGCAGCTGCCAGTGGAAAATAATGTACCTAAAGTCTTTTATGTTAAGTAGTTTTGGGCTTACACTTACAGTATCCAAAAGAAATGTGTGAATACAATAGAAGGGATAAAAGAGAAAGTCCTTGAAACCAGGGACTAATTCAACTCCATATCACACAAAATTCACTGGACATCCAACGCTGTCATATATAATGTGGTCCCTTCATAAATGTTCTTGATAATAGCCTGTTAATTTTGAGTCCCAGGTCTTCTGTGTAATACTACCGGTTATTTCACATTTCTGAGCTTCATTTTCCTCATCATTAAACTAGGATAACAATAATTCACCTCTCTTATGGTTGCTTGTGCTGGTTAAATGAGATAATACATGTAAAATTAATAAGCCACATTTTGGCACATAATATTCAATAAATGTTAGACTATTTTCACTCATACCACTAGCTACCACAATCCTTTCAAATTCACTGTACTTGAGAAACACTCAAACTGGGATTCTTCAATTAAAGGAAACCTAGTGTTCTAGTAACCAAATGTAACATATTTTAAAAGCAAAGTTCCAGCCACTTTAGGTTGAGCCTCTTCAGCGCACTTTGGAAAGTTAATTTTCATCTGTTAACTGCCCCCATTAGGGGTTGCAGTGCACAACAGCATGCAGTGAGGCTACAGGAGAGCACATAGGCATTTTTAAGCTTAGATGGGGCATGGACAGTGAGGCAAACTTTATTCTCACTTGATGAATCTGATGAAATGTCTTCTAGACTTTTGGAAGGCATTTTCCTAGCGGCACTCCTTTCCAAAGTTTTCAAAACGGGACTGGGTTCTTCTTCTGAACCTGTTATAAAACAAAATTGATGAACACTGCACAATACAAAAAAAAAAACCCTCTAACATATGGACATAGAAATGGTAGGTTGAAAAGAGACATTATGCTATGAGCTTCTCTTATTTTAAGAAGCACTTATTTCACAGAAGAAAATAAAATTTATCCACTATTAATATGGCCTTAAAAATAATTTTCCAGGTCAAGAAATATTTGCAAACATAAACCATACAGAAACAAGATTACCACATCAATAGAAATATGATCTCTTACTTGTTTACTCGTATTTTAGGCATATGAATTGTCCTATGCTAGAAACTGACTCTTTCCATTTAACATTCTAGGTTTTGGAAACAACCATGAAATACTTTTAGGAGCATTAATAAAATTATTTCAAATCCGTGGAAGGCACGATTCAGATGTTTAACATCTGTGTATAACTAACTGGGTACACAGATGATTGCATTCTCCAGATCGAAGGTTGTAGACTTCATGGGTTTCATGATCTAGTACTATTTCCAATGAAATTTTGGGAAATAACATGAGATAGTCAAGTTTTTATTTAGTAAGGCATTTTAAAGTTGTATGTGTGTGGGGGGGCCTCTCTCATTTACTAATGCCATTATTTTATAAAAGGAATGGGATTTTAGAACCAAGGGAAAATTTTTTTTTAAAAGGACATAACCATAGAATAAAAAGTCTTTAAATACATCTAAATTTACGAAAAATAAATTCTCTAGACAGTCCTTATTTTTCTATTTTGACAACTCCATCATGAAAAAGCCTAAGTACTGACATTTATTATTGCTATATTCTCAGTGCCTAGAATAGTGGCTGGAAACAAGAACTTCAAAAATATTTGCTGAATCAATGAGTGATCTGATTAATGAATCAATAAATTTAAGAATCACTTCTCTAGACATTTTCCTGAAATACATTCTAGTTCTGTATAGTACACTCCATAGCAAATGAATTCTAAGATGAATTAGATTTGGGGTTTTCTTTTTTCAAATTTAAAACGTTCCTTACTGCAGACTTTCTCTGTGCATAATGGCCCAGCATTTCCAAAAGTATTTGGCTACTGAACGTTTAATTTTTCCCAAAGGAGCATATTGAGGGATTGCTTATTTAAGATCTCGGCCACAAGTCAAATGTGTTAGGTTGCTCCCCAAAAGTAGGGTACCCTTATAGGTTTGTCTTCAATTCTCACCACAGTTTGCTTTAAACATAAATTGAAGACAAATAGGTTTGTCTTCAATTCTCACTCCACCACAGTTTGCTTTAAAATAATAATTTAGGTTGGGGTATATACACCTAAATTAAAATCATGACTGTACCATTTTATACTTCTTATTTGGCTTATAATTCTAAAATGTCTTCTCTGGGCTCTGTTTAGGTGATTATTTAACATTTTTTTTTTAGATAGGCTTTTATTATTCAGTCAGTTAAGCTGGGATACAATTAGATGATAGTCTCTAACATAACTGCAAATTTGCAAGCGCTCCTCCTCTTGTGGGTCAGTTTACGCTAGCAACTCATGGGCAGTTTAGCAAGACTATCTCAACAAGTTTAATATGCTGGCTTTATTCTTGCATATGTTTGGTTTTAGAGACTAATATTTCAATTTTTTTTTATTAACCAACAAAATTTGTTAGAGGGGCTTCAACTTGACTGAATAGCATTAAAGGTGGATTCTTTGGTCAGTGTTCAAGAAGAGACCCTGGCCGGGCGCGGTGGCTCAAGCCTGTAATCCCAGCACTTTGGGAGGCCAAGGCGGGTGGATCACGAGGTCAAGACATCGAGACCATCCTGGTCAACATGGTGAAACCCCGTATCTACTAAAAATAAAAAAATTAGCTGGGCATGGTGGCGCATGCCTGTAATCCCAGCTACTCGGGAGGCTGAGGCAGGAGAATTGCCTGAACCCAGGAGGCGGAGGTTGCGATGAGCCGAGATCGTGCCATTGCACGCTAGCCTGGGTAACAAGAGTGAAACTCTGTCTCAAAAAAAAAAAAAAAAAAAAAGAAGAGACCCTACAGCTACTTACAAAAGCATCCACACCTCAAAGTAAGCCACTCAGAAGGCTTATGTATTTTCGCTGGATCTAAAGGGAGCTAAACAAATGACAAATTCTACTAAGCTACAGGGAAGGCAATCAATACCAGTTGTGCAGCTTTGGTTAAAATGTCCCAGCCAGAAAGTATTCTCTATCATTTCATCATTTTAATCAGGTAACTTCTCATTCCTATTTGCTCTGGGGTTTCTCTGCTATAGTGCCCGTATGTTGATTAAATAGCACTGAGACAAGCCCTATGTTTTATAGCCTGCCCAAAACCAGTGCCCCCATTTCCACTTAGATGAATGTGGAGATTAAGATCATCAACTTAGCCAAGGCTGGAGCAAAATAAATACATAAGGCCAGGCAATGCCCTTAGGTGGCATTAGGTGAAGTCATCTGGCCAAAGTCATACTCTAGAAATGAAAGATTATGCAAATAATTGAAAATGAGAGGGAGAAACTAGCAACAAAAACACCACAGCACAAGGTATATGAGGAAAAGACTAGCCTTCTACTTTGTCCCTGGCATTTAGCCACCACCGTGGTAAGATATTGCTCCTAAATGGGAAATTTGTGTCCATCTATGGCACTTTCTTGCCATAAATCTTACTAGACTTCTATAAAGACTGCCATTTAAAGAGAAATTCTAAATATTTCCAGGAAGAAAACTAGCTTAAATGTATTAAAGGTACTTTCTAAACCCCAAAAATGTATTTAAAAAGTAATTTTTGAAACCTAAAAATTCTACAGGTAGATTAATGAAAAGTCAAGTCAGACTCTGAAAAAGCTAGCTGTTTTATGTAATTCATTTGATTAAACAATATGATTTTTTTAATTAAGAAAGGGTGAGGGCACAGAAGTGGTAAGAAGAATTTAACACCATTTAAGAATATCAAATTATTAATCCCAATTAAAAAATATATCATCCTTTACATCAGCATTCTGTAAATCAGACTTATTTTGAGTTAAAAATTTTTTAATGCTCACTGGAGGGATCTCCCCAGCTCTCTGCATTAGAACTGGTGTTTCCATCTGAAAAATCAGACTCAGAGAAACCTTCTTTTTCATCCTTTTTCTCTTGTTTCTTACATGGCAATGCCGGAATCAATTCAGCTTTACTTGTTTTTGTAGAGTTTTCTTTGTTCATCAGGAAAGGAATGGGTTGCCTATTTCTGGACCCACTAATTGCTTCAGAAGCCTCTCCAAAGCCAGGTTCCTGAAAAGTCTCTTGTCCCCCTGCAACCCCACTTTCACTGTCCCTGTCCTCTGGGAGTTTTACAGTTTTAATGGTCCCTATTTCATGAGCCACATAAAGTTGTGGGGTTCTAGGGATCTCAACCCCACTTCTGGAACCACAAAAATCTACCAATAAATCAGTCACAAGTACATCTCCTCCCAACATTTTATCACATTGGTTGACTTGAGATTCCAAACCATTACTTTTAACCTTCATTTCAAAGGCCCGCGAGGCTGCCCCATAAAAACAGGGCACTGTCCCCAAGGATCTGGTCTGCTCTGACTGTGAGGACTCCTCCTCATGAGTTTCTTCTTTCACTGACACCTTGGGTCGATAAGGAGGAGCTTCAGATATTTCTTTAAGAAGTTTCCCAAAACCAGCATCAAAAGCGCTCTCAGTTATTACTGGAGCCTCAGTCTTTTCTACTGTTTCTTCTAATTCCTCAGGATGGAATTCAGAAGTGGCTTGCCTGGGCTCTTTTGTACTATCTATTAACTGTGATGGAGAAAGATTCTCTGTATCACTTTCATATTTTGAAGGGAAGTTTTCAATCGCTTCCTTCATTAGTTTCTCTAAGCCAGAACTAAATTCGAGGAACTCTGATTTAGGTTGAATAATTGTTTCCCTCACAATTTCTGCCACTTCCTGAGGTAGGCCTTTGCCATATTGAAAAACAAAGGAACTGCATGAGCTAAGGGTCTGTTCCAATGGAGACATTTGGGCAGCTAAATAAGATCCAACTTCATGAGTTTGATCAGGAACTACAGTGGAAGAATAAAAATCCTTCCTTTCTGGAACTATGATGCCCATTGTAGCCCATGGTGAGATCACTCCTGGAGGATTTAGCGGGCTACCTGCTGCCTGTACTCCTTCAGGAAATCCTGGGTTCACTTCTCCAGGACCTACTTCCTTCCCAGCTGGACAACTTAACTGTACTTCTCTACACAGCTTCTGTAATGCAGCATTTACATCATTCAACACAGGTCTGGGTGGAAGAATGACTTTCTCTACAGTTTCTGAAATTTCCATTTGAGGAGGGAGTGCCCTAGCCTGGGGAACAAGATGAGCATCCTGGGGAAAAAGCGTATCTTGGTGAGGGTTAGCCACGCCCCCAAAAGAACCCTTTCTGGAAAGCTGGGAAGTTGGATCCAATGGATGAGACTCTTCTGCAGCCATCTGAATCAAGTTCTCTGTGTTTAGCTGGCACTCACCACTTTCAGCTTTCTTGCTGGGAGCTGCTGTATTTCCCAAAGTTTCATTTCCTGCTGGAAAAGGAGCTATTATCTCTCTCTTATCAGCTGAAGTGTTGTGACTCTGTTCTATCCCTTTTCCAAAAAATCTACCCTCTTCCAGCTTAGAGTTGGTTCTAGGGGTAACAGGCTCCAACTTGGTTTGCAAGGGAGAGGGTGAAGTTCCAGTTGCTTCCTTCAGGAGTTTGTCTAGACTAGCAGTCAAAGAGTTTCGTTTAACCTTTGGAGGAACTACTGTTTTATCAACATGCTCATTAATGATCTTCTCAGGTCTTTTGACTTCTTCCTCAGTATCAGTAAAATCTGTTTTTTGAGGCCGTGTCCTATTTTCAGAAACACCTGGTTTGAGCACGTGTTTTCCATGAACTTTTCCACCAGAGGGTTGAACTGCTGGTGTTGAGGGTTCTAAAAGCAGTTTCTGCAAGCTGTCATTAAAAGTGTCTTTGTAGTCTTTAGACAAAATATTGGTTTTTACTATGGATTCTTGAATCTCTTGGTCTGAGTAATCCTTTTCTTCCTTAAACACTGGAGTAACAATCCCTTCCATATTCTTGTCTACGTTTTTCTTTGATGACTCATTTTCTGGCAACTGATGAGTATGCTTTCTAAGTGGATTCAAAGGAAATACAGTTTCACCTGGTAGCACCTGGAATATACCCTTTGAATTTAATTCCTCCATTTCCTCTCTTGCCGTAAGTTTTTTGGGGCTTAGAAGCACCTCTGCTTCATGGGTATTTTTACCTGATAATTTAATGTAACTGAATTCCTTGTGTTTCTGCCTATTAAAAGGCATAGAATTTTTTTGGCTTGTTGTGCTAGTATTCTTATTATTAACCCTACTGTTTGAATTAGCTTCTAAGTCCCAAAACTTTCTCAAATTCTCAAACTGAGAGTGATTATAGACCTGTTCTGTATTGGATTCATCCATTCTTTCTTTTAGGGTCATAACTTTAAAGTTGGCATTTGATTCACCAACTAGAGGTCTGTCTTTCCCCAAAGGAGCATGTTGTTCATTCCCAGCATTTGAGGGACATCGTAGTGCTGGTAATGTAATATTTCTTCTAGAGGGCAAACTGTCTGCCACTGGTGATCTTGTCATAGGCTCATTTTTCTTATTCTGAAACAGAGACACTTTATCTGATTGCTCAGCTGAAAGATAGTTTCTGGATAGACCTGATATTTGGGGCTTGGTCTCTTTAGATTTATTTGAGGAATAAGAATTGGAGAGCTGAGATGTTTCATCATCCTCATCTAGGACCACTTGTTTGGCAGTGACCTGATTATATTCACTCTGGTCTGTAGATAAACTGTCCATGGATGATACACCCTGTGACTTCTTCACAGGCTGATATGCTTTATCAGAAGGTTGTTTCTGGCTACATGAAGATGTGGGTTCTTTATGAGTTATCTTAGTAGCAGCTTTCTCTCCTTCCCAAAAGGATATTCTGTCACTCACTCTTTTGTATTTTTCTCTCTGTACTTGGTTCTTGGGAACCTCACCAGCTTCTTGCCGTAGTTGGACCTCGGGCTTCTTCCAAGGAGAGTCATTGTTGGCAATCCCAGGTGTTGACTTAATATTCTCTGGCTCTAAAGAAGCTTTTAGAATATAGGAATTTCCTCCTTTGCTCGTTCTCTCTGCTTTCATGTTATTTTTCAAAGTCGGTTCTTTGACACTTGTTGATGAGTCAAAACTCACTTCTGAATGTCCTCTCTTTTTTTCATCAGCATGAAACTTGGGTTCTTCTTCACCCAAGTTGCCAATATTGTTAGTGTTGCATGGAACTTGGTCTTCTGCTTCAGATCCCTTGAGAACACTGTAGGAACAGTTACTATTTTGAGGAGATACCCCATTCCCTTTTCCTATGCTTTTTGAATCTTGGCTATAGTCCACATTTTTAATTTTTTGACTTGGGGTATCATAGCTTTCAAATGGTTGCAGTATATCTCGGCATTCCTTTGGGGTGCCTTGTTGAGACAAATTCATGAATTTGGATTTGATATTCATATTATTATCTTGGCAACTTTCAGAAAGCAGCATATCTCCCTCTACTTGGAATGCTGAATCACATCTCATAGGCTTCAATTCAATTTTGCTGGATGATAGGGCCTTCAAGCCATTTTCTTTTAGAGTGGTGTTATCTGTCACCAAGTCAATAACAACCTGCGATTTTGAGTCTACTTTTTCTTTGGACTGTATTCCTCGGAGATGTTGGAGGAATAGCTTATTGTCATCTGAATAAGAACTTCGGTTAAACCAGTCTAGAACTTTAAATATGGAATCATCAGTTGTCTTCTTTATTTCAGTGGCATATGGATCAGAACGTGAAGATGTCTTAGCTTTTATAGCCGGGAGAGGAGGGGGCTTACCTTGCTGATGGTCTCTAGAACTGCCACCTGGCACCTGAGATGGCTCAGGCTCAGCACAATGAGACAGTTCATCTGCAACAGAGAAATACTCTTGTAAATAAGAGCATGCTCAAATAACTGTTTCTCAATCATTCACATCATCTTTTCACTTTGTATTTGTACTTTCTGTATCACTAGCTGTTTATATCAGTATTATCCAGGGGTTAAAATGTAATTTGTCCTAATTAAGGTATTCTACTAAAGGTGCTCTGTGACAGTAAAGGAAAGTAAACATAGAGCCCTGGAAAAACAGGGTATAGATTCAACTGAAAAATTTCTTCGAAGTTCCTGTTTTAATTTAAAAATACATGTGAATTTTACATTCTGTTCTATGTTACATTTTAAATGTTAACTTTCTCTTACTCTCAAATCTTTACATAAAATTGACACTCCAGGAAGATACACCATGCTGATTTTATGACTTCTCCCATCCCCCAGCACATATCATTAACCCTAGAGGGGGCCTAAACCCAGGTTTGAGGTATACAGACTTAGTGATTTCAGAAGTTAGAAAAAAACTTTTCATATAAAACTAAACAAGGAATTTTTCCACAATATTTAAATGGGACAATGAGGATATTTGCATTCCTGGGCCTTATTCCTGATACATTGAATGAGATGAATTTTTGAAGATGGGGCCCATGAATCTTTTCTAACAGCTATCATAGTGATTGTTTTGCATAAAGGAGTTTAAGAATTGTGTTTTCAAACTAACAAAGATTTAAAAAAGGCAAAGAAGGCCGGCTGCGGTGACTCATGCCTGTAATCCCAGCACTTTGGGAGGCCGAGGTGGGTGGATCACGAGGTCAAGAGATCAAGACCATCCTGGCCAACGTGGTGAAACCCCATCTCTACTAAAAATACAAAAATTAGCTGGGCATGGTGGCACGCACCTGTAGTCCCAGCTACTTGGGAGGCTGAGGCAGAAGAATTGCTTGAACCCAGGATGTGGAGGTTGCAGTGAGCTGAGATTGCACCACTGTACTCCAACCTGGCACCTGGAGACAGAACCAAGACTCTGTCTCAAAAAAAAAAAAAAAAAAGACAAAGAAGGCATTATATAATGGTAAAAGGATCAATGCAACAAGAAGAGCTAACTATCCTGAATATATATGCACCCAATACAGGAGCACCCAGAATCATAAAGCAAGTTCTTAGAGACCTACAAATAAACTTAGACTCCCACACAATATTAGTGGGAGACTTTAACACCCCACTGTTAATATTAGACACACCAATGAGGCAGAAAATTAATAAAATATTCAGGACTTGAACTCGACTCTGGACCAAGTGGACCTAGTAGACATCTACAGAACTCTTTAACCCAAAACAACAGAATATACATTATTCTCAGCACCACATCATACTTATTCTAAAATTGACCACATAATTGAAAGTAAAACACTCCTCAGCAAATGCGAAAGAATGGAAATCATAACAAACTGTCAGACCACAGTGCAATCAAATTAAAACTCAGGATTAAGAAACTCACACTAAACTGCACAACTATGTACAAACTCAACAACCTACTCCTGAAAGACTACTGGGTAAATAACAAAATTAAGGCAGATAGCATGGGGAGAAATGCCAGATGTGGGTGAAGGGGAGGAAGACAGCAAATCACACTGCCATGTGTGTACCTATGCAACTATCTTGCATGTTCTGCATATATACCCCAAAACCTAAAATGCAATAAAAAAAATTAAGGCAGAAATAAAGAAGTTCTTTGAAACCAATGAGAACAAAGACACAGCATACTAGAATTTCTGAGACACAGCTAAAGCAGTGTTTAGAGGGAAATTTATAGCACTAAATCCTCAGAGGAGAAAGCAGGAAAGATCTAAAACTGACACTCTAACATCACAATTAAAAGAACTAGTGAAGCAAAAGCAAACAAATTCAAAAGCTAGCAGAAGACAAAAAATAACTAAGATCAGAGCAGAACTGAAGGAAATAGAGATATGAAAAACCCTTCAAAAAACAATGAATACAGGAGCTGTTATTTTTTAAAAAGATTAACAAAATAGATAGACCACTAGCCAGATTAGTAAAGAAAGAAAGAGAGAAGAATCAAAAAGCACAGTAAAAAATGATAAAGGGGATATTACCACTGAACCCATAGAAATACAAACTACCATCAGATAATGCTATAAACACCTCTATGCAAATGAACTGGATAATTTAGAAGAAATGGATAAATTCCTGGACACATACATCCTACCAGACTAAACCAGGAAGAAGTCGAATTCCTGAAAAGATCAATAAAAAGTTCTGAAATTGAGGAATTAATTAATAGCCTACCAACCCCCCCCCCAAAAAAAAAAAAAAGCCCAGGACCAGAAGGATTCACAGCTGAATTCTACCAGAGTTACACAGAGGAGCTAGTACCCTTCCTTCTGAAACTATTCTGAACAATAGATAAAGAGTGATTCCTCCCTAACTCATTTTATGAGACCAGCATTATCCTGATACCAAAATGTGGCAGAGACACAACTAAAAAAGAAAATTTCAGGCCAATATCCCTGATGAACACTGATGTGAAAATCTTCAATAAAATACTGGCAAACTGAATCTAGCAGCACATCAAAAAGCTTATCCACCACGTTCAAGTCAGCTTCATTCCTGGGATGCAAGGCTAGTTCAACATACGCAAATCAATAAACACAATCTGTCACATAAACAGAACCAATGACAAAAACCACATGATTATCTCAATAGATGCAGAAAATGCCTTCGATAAAATTCAATACCACTTCATGCTAAAACTCTCAATAAACTAGATATTGATAGAATATATCCCTAAATAATAAGAGCTATTTATGACAAACCTACAGCCAATATCATAGTGAATGCACAAAAGCTGGAAGCATTCCCTTTAAAAACCGGCACAAGACAAGGACGCCCTTTCTCACCACTCCTATTCAATATAATATTTGAAATTCTAGCCAGGGCAATCAGACAAGAGAAAGAAATAAAGGGTATTCAAATAGGAAGAGATGAAGTCAAATTGTCTCTGTTTGCAGATGATGTGATTGCATATTTAGAAAACCCCATCATATCAGTCCAAAATCTCCTTAAGCTGATAAGCAACTTCAGCAAAGTTTCAGGATACAAAATTTAAATGTGCAAGAATCACAAGCATTCCTTTACAACAATAATAGACAAACAGAGATCCAAATCACGAGTGAACTCTCATTCCCAATTTCTACAAAGAGAATAAAATACCTAGGAACACAACTTACAAGGGATGTGAAGGACTTCTTCAAGGAGAACTATAAATCACTGCTCAAAGAAATAAGAGGGGACACAAACAAATGGAAAAACATTTCATGTTCATGAATAGGAAGAATCAATATTGTGAAAATGGTCATACTGCCCAAAGTAATTTACAGATTCCATGCTATCCCCATCAAGCTACCACGGAATTTCTTCACAGAATTAGAAAAAAACTACTTTAAATTTGATATAAAACCAGGAAAGAGACCATATAATCAAGAAGACAATTTTAAGCAAAAAGAACAAAGCTGGAGGCAACATGCTACTTGACTTCAAATTATACTACAAGGCTACAGTAACCAAAGCAGCATGGCACTGGTGCCAAAACAGATCTGTAAACCAATGGAACAGAACAGAGGCCTCAGAAATAAAGCCACACATCTACAACCATCTGATCTTTGACAAACCTGACAAAAACAAGCAATGGGGAAAGAATTTCCTATTTAAAAATGGTGTTTGGAAATCTGGCTCACCATATGCAAAAATCTGAAACTGGACCCCTTCCTTACACCTTTTACAAAAATTTACTCAAGAAATATTGAAGACTTAAATGTAGGACCAAAAACCTAGGCAATACCATTTAGAACACAGGCATGGGCAAAGACTTCATGACTAAAACACTAAAAGAAATGGCAACAAAAGCCAAAATTGACAAATGGGATCTAATTAAACTAAAGAGCTTCTGCACAACAAAACAAACTATCATTAGAGTGAACAGGCAACCTATAGAATGGGAGAAAATTTTGCAATCTATCCATCTGACAATGGGCTAATATCCAGAATCTATAAAGAACTTAAACCAATTTACAAAAAAAAAAAAAAAAAATCACCAAAAAAGTGGGCAAAGGATATCAACAGACACTTCTCAAAGGAAGACACTCATGCAGCCAACAAACATATGAAAAGAAGCTCATCATCACTGGTCATTAGAGAAACACAAATCAAAACCACAATGATATACAATCTCATGCCCGTTTGAATGGTAGTCATCAAAAAGTCAGGAAACAACAGATGCTGAAAAGGATGTGGAGAAATAGGAATGCTTTTACATGTTTGTGGAGTGTAAATTAGTTCAACCATTGTGGAATAAAGTGTGGTGATTCCTCAAGGATCTAGGACCAGAAATAGCATTTGACTCAGCAATGCCACACTGAGTATTATCCAAAGAATTATAAATCATTCCACTATAAAGACACATCCACATTTATGTTTATTGCAGTACTGTTCACAATAGTAAAGACTTGGAACCAACCCAAATGTACATCAATGATAGACTGGATAAAAAAATGTGGCACATGTACACCATCGAATACTATGCAGCCATAATAAAGGATGAGTTCACGTCTCTGATTGCAGATGACGTGACTGCATATTTAGAAAATATCGTATCAGTCCAAAATCTCCTTAAGCTGTTAAGCAACTTCAGCAAAGTTTCAGGATACTAAATTTAAATGTGCAAAAATCACAAGCATTCCTATACAACAATAATAGACGAACGGAAACCCAAAACATGATGGGACATGGATGAAGCTAGAAACCACGATTCTCAGCAAACTAACACAGGAACAGAAAACCACACACTGAATGTTCTCACCCATAAGTGAGAGTTGAACAATGAGAACACATGGACACAGGGAGGGGAACATCACACACTGGGGCCTGTCAGGAGGGTGGGGGGCTAGGGGAGTGAGAGCATTCGGAGAAATACCTAACATAGATGACGGGTAGATGGATACAGCAAACCACCATGGCACATG